TGGGGGCTAGGGCTTTCGGCGGCTCCTTTGGCTCAGGTACCTGTTCTGGATGAGCTGGCTTTGGAAGTGGCGGCGGAGCCACCTTTGGGGGAGCCGAAAGCATGGGAGGCTTAGGAGGTGGTGGCTTCTTGAATTCGACACCTTTCGTCCCTGCCATTAGCCATGCTTTTGCGCTGGGATGCATTTTTAGAAGCCCCGGATGGTCTCCCAAACATGCCTCCCGGACCTCTTTTGGGACAGAAGTCATAATAGGTGGAGCACCTTCAATCAGCATCTTGGCCCGTCCTCTGTTCATGAAATCCATGAACTGGAGCAGTCCTTGCATCACGGCTTGATCGAAGGTTTGGAAGACTTGCTCAGACCCGCTCCCCTCCTCAGGGAGCTCTTCCCATGCCGGCTCATCCCAATCTTCTTCATCGAATTGGTGGTCTTGGAGGATGTCCATGTCATCGTCTTCAGCTTCCACCTCAACATACACATAGTCATCCTCGTTGTCTGGGACGGTGCTCTCCGGTGGAAGGTCCTCAGACCCGGGCTCCAACCAGCTCGAAGGGGCCCTATATCTGGATGACGTCTCTGACCACCAAGACTCAGACGGAGCGTCTGATCGTTCTCTCACCCCTGCATCTGCCAGTGCGATGCGAGGAACTCGCAAATCGTCCACCATGCCCCCTCCAGTGTATGGTTGGGTCGCCCTGGGGAAATGCTTGGCTGGTGTTAGCGGTGCTCCCTTTGGAATAGCTTGCGTGGGTGCCATTTTTTGCATTGGTGGGGTGGTAGGTCCTCTGGGCCTCCCATCATCATTTCTTGGTGGCGGTGCTTTCCTTGGCTTCGCGCTTGAGCTCGGAGTAGGCGGATTCGCGGGCGGTGGAGGTTTCCTTGGCTTTTGCGCGGTCCCTGCTGGAGCAGGAGGGGCTTTGGCTGGGGGCGGTCCTCCTTGCGCTCCTCCTCCAGGATATCCCTGTGAAGGGGGGGGTGGTTTACGAGGCACCTCCCGGCCTGCTCCTCCCGAGCTGCTGGCTCCTGCGCCAGCAGGAGTGGAGGACCGATCAAAACTTGATCTGGCTTGTTGGAATGATGAAGCTTGCTTGGCATAGACACCAGCTGGAACAACTGGGGAACGGCCTCGCCCATGCTTTGCAGCAATTTGCTCTTGTCTCCACCTCATGTATTGAGTGGCCATCAGTGGATCCAAGAGGATCTCTCGGACCATTCCCAACATCTTAAACTCCTCTCCTTTGGCTTTCTGGACATCTTCCCCAGCAGTTGCAAAGCGGTCTGGATGAGTCTCACGGGACCTGCGACGATATGCGGTGAGCACCTGAGCTGGAGTCGCACCGGGTGGAACACCCAGGAATTGATAAAGATCTAGTCCTGGGTGAGCTGCTACAAAGAGGTTCGCTGCATTGGCTCGATCTGGAGCTGCTGGCTTTCGTCCCCCATCGGCACTTTCATCAGTAGCATCCATAGCACCAGCCTTCACTGCAAACGATACCTTACGATCTGGTGCCCACGAAAATGCACGATTGGTGTTTGAGCCTCGAGGAGCTCTGGATGTTCGCTTCGTGGCAACTGGGCTGCTAAAAGGGTTTGATCCTCCATGACTGTTACGGAATAACTCATCTTGAGGGACCCCCAATAAACCAGGATAGGACTCTTGGGGTTCAGTTGGAACAACCGCTGGATGCCTACGGACCCCGGGGTCTTTTTGGCTGGGGAGTGTAATGAGGCTGGTACCCAACATCCCTTCTGAAATCCCTTTCTGAGCGGTATGATCTTCATAAAGGTAAGCATGAACAGCATCGGATGACCAACCACCGTACCTCTTAAGCCTTTCTAAGTCCCCAGTACTTGCGAAAAATGCAGTGGCTCCCCCCTTACGTAGTGAGTGTGAACCAGCGAGTTCGCCAGGAAACCCGGCGGCCAATGCAGCTATCTTGATGAAATGGGTGATGCCCTCTCTGTCAAGCCCCGTCCCGTCTTCATAGCGGAACAAAGGCGCCTCGTCTTCAGGGCTGCGCCACCGATGGGGCTGTAGGACCTGTAGCGCGGCTAAGGCTTCAACAGGGCAGAGATCTCCACCGGAGCGGTGGTGTGACCGTGTTTGGCCCCTACCATACTGATCGGTTTTTGAAGATCTAATCTGCACTACGACTTCATCGGCCTTGGCGCCTATGGTAGGCTGCCCATGCGAAAAGAAAGCAACATCAGCTGGGCGGAGCGCCCTATTCATGGGGTCTTCTCCATTGATACTGGGCAAGAGTTCACTGGCCCGCATCATGAAAAACCAACCTGTAAGAAGGGCTCCTTTGATCATGGTTTGATCGACAACTCATAAACCGCTACTTTTCAAGTGCTGGACCAACCATCGCAACATGTTGGGGGTAACAGAGAGCTTTCGTTTTGGGGCGCCTTCCCAACGTTGTAGACCCGCAACCGCTGCCCACAACCGAGGTCGCCCGACCAGTGGATCAGGGTATCCTGCCGCAACATGTGCATAACGAATGGCTGACAACCTTTGTCTGACCCCACCTATGGACCTTCCCATGACTTGATGTAGAAATACTACAAACCGAATCAACCTCTGCTCATCTTCAGTCCGAGCGGAGCGCTCTTCTCCGTCAAGGAACGGGTGAGTGCCCGAGCTGGCATTGTACAACGCCCATTGCTTCCAGCCTGATGCATAGACCCTGCGAGTTGAATCAGCCAGTTTGGCCAAGACAGCTTCCATGGCTACCTGGTCAAGCTCTGCTGTGCTCCCTCCTCGGGGACGGGGGATCCCAGTAGTCCCGCCTCTTTTGGATGCGGGCTGGACCAGCCTCTCCACTTCACTGAGTGCTGGCTTCACGGTGGTGCGTTTGCCTCCGCCTGCTTTCGCCTGGGTTGTCGCTCCCACGAACTCATGAGTGGGTGCCACTGCCACACGTGGCTCTTTCCACGAAGTAAGGAAAAGCTCGGAAGAGGGAGCCTTCGGGTTCCTCCCCCACGCTCGCAGCCAGACCTCTAGTTGCTCGTGGGCTTGGATCTCATCGGGGTCCAGGACTCCTGCCTTCCCATCGGTTCCAGTCAGAGCCTGCATGAGACTCATAGCCACTTGCCAGCCTGGCTCCCGGACTGCAGCTGCTATCATGCGATCCTTTCTCTTCGAGTCGGCGGAACGCCAATCCTCTGCGAGGCCCCCTTGCATTTCCCACACCTCTTCTGGGAGGAGAGGACGGACCAGACCCGTCCCATCTTCCAACAGGGTGCCTCCTGGGATCTTGAGACGCTCACCTGTGAGCCTAGGTCCGCAAGCTGGGCCCCGTGTGCTATGGACCAGGTGCCTGCTGCCGGCGCGCACGTCAACCAAGTGGCCGACTGGTTTTGGAAGCCACTTGTCTCCGGTGGTGATGAGGTTTGGTTCTCTCGTGAAAAGGTAGTCGGGCGGGCATAATCCCTTACCTGACTCCTCTGCGGATCGCAGAGGTAACATCTGACACTCGTTGACTTGCGCAACTCGCCACGCTTGAACTCTCTCCTTTTCGTCGGCCGTTCCTTCAAAAAGCCAATGTCTTCTGGCCCTGGCAAAGAAGCTGCCGTGGTGTGAAGTCTGATAGTCGACCACTTGTGCCTGACCCCATTGAACCTGAAGCTGCATCAGGCGATTTCGGCTGGTTTCAGAGAGCTCCCTGGGCTGGTCAACGATAAGTCGTCCTCTCCAATCAGTTCTGGCGAGGGTTTTTAGAAGGAGGTCTGCCTCCCGCCCTTTTGGGTCTTGAGTGAGAACACAGACGATCCAGTCAGCTTGCGCCTGGCTTGCGATCCTCCGCCCTTGGCCCACCCCAGCTCGAACGTCAGTAGTTCCGACCCTATAGCCGGATTTGGTCGAGTCCCCCTTTGAATGGCTTTGGCTCGATCTTGGCGGGGAAGGCATGCACGGTTTGCTGTTCGTTGGCCAGCTGAATGGCTAAAGCTGCACTCGGGCCCTTCTCCCCTGGTAGCTTCAACGTGGGGCGCATGGCTTCTCGCAGGAGTCCTTCCCAGTCCTCATTGAGCTCGAGGCGGGTCCAGCCACTGCTTTCCATTTCCGCATGGACCTTGTCTTCATCCTCCCTTGTCAGCCAGTCGACTGAGAGTATTGTGGTAGGTACGGACGTACGCTCCATCGACAGTGAAGCTATTCTCCGCTTCGAGCCGCTGGAGCAGCAGCAAGAGCGCCCTCACGTATCTGTTTGAAGCGCGCCTGGTACGTAACCATGCTTTGACATTCATGTTGTCAGTCACATAAAGGATCAGTTGCCCCTGCCAGGTTTCCTTCGGACAATGAATCAGAAGCTCCATCACTCCGATGATCTCCAAGTGATCCCCGCCCCCTACGACTTCGCTCACGGCCCTGACGTATCTGCTGCTGTCCGCCATGTGGTAGCATCTATCCTTCCAATCAGTGCTTCCGAGCCTGGTTAGCGTGGCATCTCCTGCAACGAATCGGGCCGAAGCGGCCATGCCAGGGAGTGCGAGCCTTTCCCTTAACGGCAGGAGCTTGCCGAAAGCTGCTCTGAAACTGGTTCCCCAAGGCTTTTCCATCTGGAGGCGAACCCAATCGAGCGCATCCCAGAACTCAGCCCAGGCAGCCTCTAGCTCACTCTCGGAGCCCCTGGGTTTCACCCATTCATGGTCGCCTACTTCCTGCTGCAGGAGCCTGTAAAAGACTGGTAGATAGGGTGCAATCTCCGGAGCGGAGACTGCCAGTTCTCGGAGCAGCTTGGTACGAACTCGTTGGCACCCCCTTTGAAGCTGAGGCTCTCTTAAGAGATACTTCGCCTTTATTCGCTTCGGTTCCGGGAGGACCACAACCTGTTCTTCAAAGTCTAGGTGTAGGCCCCACAGGAGCTGGGATTTTGCCGGGGTGCCTTCTTCGGCGAGCTTGTCGAGATTGATGGCTCCAGGGCCCCAGACTGATACCATAGCTTGACCGGGATCTCTGGATCCTATTCCCCACTAGTGGCTCTACCACCACGCCGTCATCCATCAACCGTGTAGGGCACCACATCGTTGAATTGAGGATGGCATGGTCGGAACGACCCGTGGTGCTTTTGGGCTGCGGTGGCCCATATCACGAACTCCCCTGGCGCTCCTACCCAACCGAACGCCATCACCAGACTCAGGATCAGCACACCTAGAATCCTCGTGCAGAACTCAGGGACATCGCCCGGCTTGAGGAAGTGCCACTTCTTCAGCTGGTGGTCGCAGAAGGAAGTACAAACGACTCCAAGCTGCCAAGTGTTGGGGACGTCGCAGCAATCGTTCTCGGACCTTCGGGTCACGGGTATCATGCTGCGGCTTAAAGCCCTTTTGCTGGATCGGGTCCTCATAGTATTCAATGGGTTCTCCGCACGGGATCCCCTGGTATTGAAGCCCCTTGGTCCATCCTGCCCATCCAGCGTACACCTCTTGACCGATTGGCCCATAGGCGAAGGCAAGCCTTTTTCGCAGAGGCACACCGCTGTTTTGAAGAGCCTGTGGATCATCCTGCAAGCAGGACTCAAATGAAGCCGGTGGCAACGGGAATCCTTCACCAACACGATAAGGCCTTTGCTGCTGTTGCTGGCATCTTGTGCAGGCGGGGGACTTGGCTGGAACCATCTGATCCTCCACTTTGCTCTGGTCCAAGATCACCCTCCAATGTTCAACCTGAAGTTCCCTGGTGACCTTGTCTGCAGTCCTCAGGTGATCCAACAGCTGCTGGGGCTGTTGTGGAAGAAGCAGGCGCATATGCCCCCGGTGGATGGTAACGAAAACTAGCTTCCCATTGCCAGCATCATCTCCGTGGAGCAGGTCGACCTCCAACCGACCAAAATAGGAAATCCTGAGGACTGCCAACGTGTATCCTTGCAGCATGGATCCTGTGAGGGTTTGCAAGGCGCGGTAGTCTTTCTCGTGGTGAGGAAAGAGGCAATCATGGACGTTTTGACGCGAGAAGTGCTCGCCCTCAGGTATCCACGCTGGCGGATCGCCAAGGTGTGCGTGAGCCTCCACTGCTTCATCCCAGAGATGTTTTCTCAACTGGTTGGCTCTGGCTACGGCCTCTCGTAGTTCTACAGATGGATCATCGGCCAACGCTAACCCGACACCCACATGAAGAGGCAGGCATTGGCGCTCTTCTTCCAACTGCCCGTCTTGCAGTGGGACCTCGCTGTCTTTTGCATTCAAGCGATCCTGGTAGTCACGGACCGTGACTGAGCCGATATGCGACAAGTTTCCTTGAAAGTTCAACAGGCCATGACCAATACCCTCGTCCCATGTGATGGGCGTAAATTCGACATCCGCTTGGTGACCCGCTTTCGGCTCGTGCTTGAGGAGCTCAAGTTGACGTCCGGCTTCCTTAGAGAGCGCGGGATGTCCATGTTCTGCCGCATCTTCGAGACACCGGTTCAGCTCCAGTTCATATCCTTCATCTTGTGCTGCCATCATGCGTGCAATCACATGGGACCTGAGATAATCCGTGGGCGAATCCAAGGCCGCCAGAACCCCTTTCTCCTCCAGCGACTTCCATCGTTTCAGCCTTTCCCGCTCCTCTTGGCTCTGGTCATCCCAAGCCGGAGCGGCTTCTTGCTCAGTGGGTTGTGAGGGTATTCGCAGCCAGCTCTCATCTGGGCCCTGAACCGCCTCTTGCAAGTCAGCCTCGAGATGGGTCAGAGGGATATCATAGTCTTCAGGTGCGACCCACTGGGTGTTCCCAACCTTGTCTTCTTCAGCTTTACCCTCAGCTTCCTTCCCAGCTTTGGCCTTTGGCTTGGGCTTTGCTTTCGCTTTCTTGCTAGGTTGGATCTTGTCGGCCTTATCCCCCGCTGCCTGGGTCCGCAGCTGAGCGACCCTTCCGTCGACCTCTTTGGGATCGATTTTCGGCCCACCTTTGAGTCCTCCTCTTCGAATGACCTGCGTGGCAACTGTGTAGTCAAGTTTGGCCAATCCCGGCAAAGGCTCGTGCGCGTGCTGGCACTTGTCGCCTCTTGTGCATCCCATGTGCGTGGCCACATCCCAGCAGATAGGTTTGTTGGTCTTGGGATCCTTAGGTGCGTGCTCCACGGACCGTGAAGCTTCTCCTTGTGTAAGCCGTTTTCCAGCTGGGTAGGCTGATTTCATGCTGCCGCCCGCATATCCATCGGCCTCTTTGTCTTTCAGGTTAAGCTTTGGGGCTTTCCCTGTCCTTGGCTCTTCATCTTCAGCTGGACCAGCTGTCTTCTTCTGCTTGAGGTTGTGGTCGTGCAGCTGCTTGTGGAGCAGCCTCGACATTTGCCTTTGCTGCCTGGGTACCACAACTGTCTGGTAATATCCGTTCGGGTCGCCCAGATCCCATATGCTTGGAAACTGGAAGTTTGCTTGCCCATCCGCTCCCGGCGCCAAAGCTAGCAGCTTCAGGTCTTCAAGCCGTGGATTTTCGGTCCCCAGCAGAGAGCAGAGTTTCCTTCTGCTTTCTCGCAGTTCTTCGCACCAAGCCGCGACAAGTTCCTCAAAGAGCTCGATGCAGTAGGCAGCTGGGAAGGCATGCTCGTCTTCTTCATGGGCCTCCTTCAGGGCTTGGAGACAATCGAGCCTTTCTTGGATATGCTCTGTACCATAGCAGGATCCAAACACACGAACTGAGTTTTCCGCGTACCTGAGCCAAGTGTTGAAGACTCCTGGTGGTCTCATGCGATTTTCGATCTTGTTGTCGAAGGACGGATTCCAACTGTCCAACTGCTCGGACCGAGCGGTAACGCAGTCACTTGCGTGTGTCTTTGCCACCCCACCACAGACCAGCGATGCCAAGTAGGACCCTGTTGGTCATCAGCACCGGCCATTTGATCAAGTGCAGCATATGGCGAGCGTGATTTGCCACCCTTTTCCCCGCGTGGAAAAGTTCCTTCCCGTACACTCCCGGTGCGAGTTCAACGGTCAGGGTGCCACAGCCTCGTGCCAGGAAGACGTCCATCTTCTCCGCCTCTTTGATAGAACTCAAGGTCCCTTTCGTGAGGTTTTTGTCGTCATCCTGTGCTCTTCTCAGACCGTCGATGGCGTGAATGATGCGGTCCGCGCTTTGGACTTGTGTGCTGTCTCCGAGGGCTTCTCCGAACGTGGCTCCTGCTCTGCCATCCGGCATCTGCTCCGATGCTGGTTTCACGAGACTGTTTCGACCGCCTGACCCCTTGGGAAAGAGCGACAATCCACCTCTCTGGACCGAGGAGGAGCTCCTCGGCAGAAGTGGATTCGCCGGCCGGGGGACTGCTGGCTTTACGGTCACTCCTCCTGGCATAGTTGCCGTCACGGGTCTGCTTGCAAACTCCATTTCGCTTTGGTCGGCTCCCAATCCTGGTGGTGCCGTTGGCTTCGAGTAGCTAAGGCGGTGATTTCTCGCATACATCGACTGAGCCAGTTGCTCATGATCTAGGTCGAAGGCAGTGGCCACGGTCTGCAACACTTCGGAATCTATCTCTCCCTCAATGTGCTGGTCAAGAGCTCTTCGAGCTGCCTCCATTCTTCCCTGGCGATCTGAATCATCTAGGTCTGGGAAGGGTGGAATCGCCGGTCCCGCACCCTCTTCCAGCTCGACTTTCGGCTTTGGCGGTGTCATAAAGTCGTCGGACATCTCAGCTTCTTCACGCAAATATGCATCAGCATGCGGGAGGATCTCCCGGTAGAGTCTCCCCTGCCAGGCTTTACTTGGCTTCGCTCCTTCATCCGTCACCTCACACACCGTCCCAGGCATTCAGGGCCGCTGCTTGGTCTTCGGACAGGCGCGCGACCAAGACCGATATCCCTTGGCCGACTTCTTCGTCATGGGTATGCTGAAGGAACTTCTGCACCCAATGCTTACTAATTCGACCCGCCCCGTTGTCTCGAGGGGACCCTTTCAACAGCCTTCTGTGGATCACACACGTTTGCTTCAAGGAAGGGATGTGGACTTCGAGCAGCTCCTGGCTGCGCCCTTCTTCGGCGAACCCCTCGATGCACCCCAACCATGCAGTCCACCTGGGTGGGGCCTCCGCGGTTTGTAATGACTTTGGTCTGAGGAGCACCATGCACGGGCCCTTCTCAAGCTTGCCTTCAATCTTCTTCTGGGATTCACTAGGATCGGCCGAAGCAGCCCTGGGCCCAAGTCGTTCAGCGCCGTCAAAGATGATCCGGCGGCTTCTTCGTGCAGGGGTGAGGCATTCTCCTTCGGACATAGATGCCTCGGATCGTGCAATGGAGCTATCTCTCTCATGTGTCCAGCTAACCCTGCGGGTAGGGCGAGCACAACCACCAAGGTCCGTCAGGTGGTGCTTGCAGAGGGGAACTCCCTGTTTGGCACCATCAACCTGTTCGTAGCAAGCCAACACGCTGCATTTTCGGCTTGAACATGCCGCCACGTAGAGCTGCCGATGATGGTCGCAAAGCCTGACGGAGGATCTCCTTTTGACGTCAGAGAGTTCTCTGTCCCTCTCCAGGAGCCGGACCGGCTCTCCGATAGCCCGATCTGCACATGGGTCTGTGGCCAATGCTCTCGGTTTGCCTCCATGTTCCAAACCGACTAATACGGCCTCACAAGGGTCATCTTGTACCTCTACTTCAGATTCAGATTCTGCATCCAAGGGTCTGACGACAGCTCCCCCGACTATGGTTCTGGGTGGCGTCCGCTTTGCCCAGAGTTGTCTGAGAATGAACCATCCCGTCAGATAGTACACGCAGAGACTAAGCCCCCGCACCATTCTACGTAGCCATCGACCCATCAAGACGATCACCCTGCGGGTGGACCACCCTGCATAAGCTCCCAAATCCACCAGCCCATTGGCATCCACCGAAGCGTAAGCTTTGCAATGTAGACCGGGTGTTGGTTGCAATTCAAGCGGACACCGCTGCTCGCGACAGAGATGGATTTTCCCCTCCTGTTCCAACGTTTGGCGAAGCGCTTTCGACGTGGAACCCTTCACTCCACGGAGACGAACCCATAACCCGTATCGATCCACACGTGCCCAATGATCCCCGTCTACCTTCAAGCGAGCTATTTGGTCATTCACCACAACAGCTACGTCATTGGGTTTTCTTTCTGAACCTCGACCCTTGACGCCTCGTTGGTAGAATTCGGAATCGACGCCCCCGCTAGAGGCGGGTCCACGGATATCCAGCTTTTCGTATGTGCCCCCAGGTCTAAGTTCGGGGAGGAGCTCCCCTACCTCTTTGGCTACTGCTCTGGTCTGTCTGCAGCAACATTTGCAGAAAGCTTGACAGGGCCGGCAGATAACCAATAGCAAGTAGAGAATCAAAATTGCTCCCAAAACCACGATGGCACTTAACAAACATCTGGCAACCCATGGCCAAAAATCTCCGCATGTCCACACCCCCAGCTGATCCAAGAAGTACAATCCCCACCCTCCTGAGGAGCTCAGGGTTCCAGGTGCTGTTGGTGTGCTGAACCATGAGGAGCCTATCCATGAACGGAAATCAAAGTGGAGGACAGAGTATCCCCACACATGGGCTATTCCTTCAAACGGGATTCCAGATTGAGAACTTTCCTTCGTGGGATCGGACTGACCTTCTGATACTTCGGGTTGATCTTTCCCATTGGTGACTTCTTCCTCCCTAGATCCAGTCATCCCATGAAAGACATCCAGGTACCATGGCAGGCCATACGCAGAAGGGGAACCTACACTGGAAACTAGCCCTAATATGAGCGCCCAATTGCAAATGGGCATTGTGACGATTTCGTCAGTACCCAACAATCAAAATGGGCAAAGACTTGAGCCCAAAATGACAGTAGCAAAACACGCTAACCCTCCGTTCTAGTGAACATCCAAATATATATATATATATTTCTATGATAGTGATCTGATTTCAACGGGTCGGGAGGCATGATGACACTGACCTCCATGGTGCTCACCTTTTTGGCGGTGAACTTCTACAAGATGATCTTCACAAAGGAGGCGCACGATCGGAAGATGAAGCGACAGATGGAGCAGACGCTTGAAGCCACGCGGGAAGCCCAGGAAGGCAGCATTCAGGTGGGATGTGGGGAGACCGCAAAGATAGGAATTCATGACGTGGTAACAAATAGATGAAATGTATCTAAATGTTCGTATATTGTTCCTTCAAGGTAGATGATTGATGCATCATATACGGTCAGATATTGCAAGGTCATCTCTCAAATTCCACAATTTGAATCAACATCCTGAAAGAAAGTTCTCGCGTTGCGCGTGGTTGTGCATCGTTGCGTGTCGTTGCGCGTCGGTGCACTGGGAGGTGGGCTTCGGCAAGAAACACGCCTTCTTCGTCTTGGCCTTCACCACTGGGCTGCGTGAAGGTCTGGAGTCCATCGTCTTCCTGGTGGGCGTCATCTCCGATGTCAAAGACCTCAGCAGTTTGCCCATTCCCATCATCAGTGCCCTGGTCCTGTCGCGATTGGTGGGGTGCTGCTTCTTCCAGGGCACTAAGAAGGTGGGGGAAAAACCAACTGGGACTGGGATCACGGGAGAGGGAAAAAATGGACGTGGTAGGACTGGTAGGAGTTTCTGAAGGAATTACATATTTTCGCATATTTTTGTTGCAGTGTTTTATGCCCTAATCCGACCAGATTTTGGTTCATCTTCCCCATCTTGTCCTTTTCCCATCTCCAATCCCTGCCCGAGCACCTTTTGCTGCTTCAAATCCAGGCATCAACCAGCAAGAATCCATTCCCCATCTCCAACCAATGCAGAAAACAGCAAAACACAACCCCCCATGTACACCAAGAGCCGCCAACAGTGTGGGACCCCAGTCAGAAGTTGGTGTATTGACACATCCAACTATTTATATCATGACTTATTCATCATTATTCATCTATAGCAATCGTCAACTCATTCGTAAACCTCTTTTCCAAAGCGATGTCGCCGGCCGTTTGGTGTTTGCGGCCTCATGTCACCATTTTTGGTGACTATTTACAGCCCAATTTTTTCAGAGCCAGAAACGTTGAAGCCATGCAACCGTTGAAACATTAAAAACCATTAATCAGTTGACCTATCCCATTGTTCTTCCATGATTCTCCTATGATTTTCCTGTAGCTCTCCAGGTGCGTGTGGATTGGTTCATGCGCGGCTCGGCCATCCTTCTGATGTTCATTGCGGCAGGTTTCTTTAGCGCCTCGATGCATCAACTGCAGGAGCTGGATGTCTTCGGCATCTGGAGTCCACGTGCGGAACGGCCCTGGCAGAACCAGCAGGTCTGGGATGCCCGGGAGTGCTGCAATGACAAGACCAACAGGTTCTTTGTGCTGATGCGAGCACTCTTTGGATGGCAGGCCTCTTGGATTTTTCCCCAACACTTGGCCACACTGAGGGGTTCTTATGGTAAGTGTTAAGCCCCGGAGTTCAATCGAGGTGGTATCCGTCGCGTCCGGCATTTTCCCTGTAAATTTCCACACAACATGGCTCTTGTGACATGTCCATGTGCATTTCGACTGCGCAGGCTCGCACAAAACGGGTGTCGCGGGATTAGCGTTTGGCATTTTCCGGCATTTTCCCTTTAAATTCCGCACGAAATGGCTCTTGTGAAATGTCCATGTGCATTTTGACTGCGCAGGCTCGCACAAACTGGGTGTCGCGGTATTAGCGTTTGGCATTTTCCATATAAGTTTCGCATAAAATGGTTCTTGTGACATGTCCGTGTGCATTTCGATTGCGTAGTCCGGCATGTTTCCTGTAAATTTCGGCCTAGAATGGCTCTTGTGACATGTCCATGTGCATTTCGATTGCGCAGGCTCGCGCAAAACGGGTGTTGCGGTCGTGGGGCACGGCATTTTTCCTTTAAATCCTCGCATCAAATGGCTCTGATGACATGTCCATGTGCATTTCGACTGCGCAAGCTCGCACAAACCGACACATCTCATACACAAATCTTGCCAAGAGACCTCTTATAGGGAGCTTGTACAGAGATCTTGCCAAGAGACCTCTTATGGAGATCTTGTTCAGAGATCTTGCCAAGAGACCTCTTACAGAGATCTTTCTAACAGAGCTCTTATAGAGATCTTCTACAGAGATATTGCCAGGAGACCTTTAATGGAGATCTTGCAGAGAACCTCTCAAGGAGACCCTGCGCAAGATCTTCTACAGAGATCTTCACAAAGGGAACTTGCAGAATCTGACCTGCTATCTCTTCTTTTCAAGGGTCGCTCTTGTCCTGCTAGCTTGCAGCCACTGATGATTTTAGATCCTTTCCACGTTTCCGTTTCCTAACTACACACTGTTTGGGGCCTCTTGCCGGGATAATTTTTGGGCACTTCAGTACTTTATTGATGTTGATGGTGGGAAAGGAAAGGAAATGGAGCAAACACATATCAGACCAATCTGCAGCCCAAAATGACCGTCGCCATATGCCATCTTTTGACGAAAAGGCACATCACCAAATCCAAGGACCAGGCGACTCCCATCGAGATCTTTGCGTGGCTCCTCTACTGGGTCGTTGGAATGTTGCTGGTGCTGTGGCGGAATTGTGTGTGTTTGTTTTGTTATCTTTTTTTTTGGTTGGGGGAGTGAGAGACCTGGTTTTGTTTCGATTCGCGTGATGCTGCGATTCAAAATCTGTCCAAGATGATCCTTGGTTTGTCAGCGTCAGCAAAACAGGTGGGCTGCATGATCCGACGAGCCAAGCAGCAGCTGGCGAAGAAAATGGAGGAATGGAAGAAGCAGGATGAGGCTGCCGAGGCTGCCAATCCCGCCATCAAAGAAACTCCATCAGGAGAGGCTGCATTGTAGGGTGGTGAAGGTGCTGGAGGCACCACAGCTGGCTTGGACAGAGATTCCAGTAGCGAATCGCAAGTGAGCTACACTTGCAACAGTATAGGAGCGGTTGGTATGTCTGGATGGGACATGCTTAAAGAAGGAAGACTATACATTTTTCGCCATGTTTATTGCGTTTGTTGTCAACTGGAATCTCGCACATCTGTGCTCGAGTCGCGTTTAAGATGCGTCCGGGTACACACTCTTGATTTGACCTTTCGACTGCATGCCCAAATATGGCTGCATTTTTCCTCCTAAGGTTTCTGTTATGGATAGCTTGTTTGGTCCGGGCTGGGTAAGCGTATCTCATGCGGCAGCTATCCTTTGAATGTCCCTGTGGGAGCTAGTTGGCTCATTCCAAACAAGCTGATCCACGTAGAAGTTCAAATTGTAAAGATCAAGGTTTCCTTCTTGTCTCAAATTCTCACGATTGGAGAAGAGGGAACCTTGACCCTTGCTGCAGATTCATGGCAGCTGTTTTTTTTTGCTTGGTTCGGTTTGGCACTGTGTGATTCTGGCAAGAGATTGTTTTGGCAATCAAGTTGTAAGCTTGCCAGTCTCGCGCTGGAATGCCAGCTCGTGACTTGTCCTGACTCGTGCAAAATTTTGAGAAGTTGGAAAAAAGTTGGAGATCATTCAGGGTTGCTCCAACCAAAGATGAATCACAGCCACGAGGGGGGTAAATGGGTCATTATTTCATATTATTTCTTTATTTGGAGGTTTCCTAAAATGGTGGTAAAATCATCGAAAACAATAGTTCATTCTAGTATTAAACCCACGGTTTTGGGGATCCCCCATTTGCAGAAACACCATTTGGCAAATGTGCCGTTGATGGCTGCGGAAGAGATCTATCGCGTCACCAAATGGGCTAGCTCATCCTTCGTGCTTCAGCGGCCGAACATGACAAGGACCTCAGATATTTGGTGCATCAATTTCAGCAGGTATGTATATTTTGCAAGGCTATATATATATATATATATGCAAATACAAATACATATAGATATCCATATACATATCCATATACATATACATATGTATATATATATATATGTATGTATGTCTATATATCGAAAGATGTATCTATATATATATTTATACAAATACATAGATAGTTAAACACACACATATATATATATGCACATACACATTTAAATACGTGTATATATATATACATACACACACCCTTTTATTTAAAGATAAGATGAATACACACACACATATATATATATACACATACATATGTATATATATATATATATGTAGGAAAGTGGTGAGTGGTAGCAAGGTCAGTGGCCATTCACACACATATATATATATATATCTATGTATATACGCATCTACATATGTCTGTATTTACATACAAACAAACATATTTATTTACGTATATGTATGTATATATGTATATGCACATATACATGTATATACATATAAACATAAATATATACTTATTTCTATGTAAAGAAAATAGATCAAGATATCTCTATATACACTGTGTGAGTTTCTCACCGGACATCGTAAGTGCTTATGGAGTTGGCACAGCACAAATCAAGAAGTGTGACATGAACATTGCACTTCCAATCATTTCACATCTCACTGCCCTTGCCGCACCTGCTGGCTAAAGGGTGGGTATCAACTGGCCAACCTGGCTACCCCGTATCGAGGTAAAACGTGTGGTGCCTGCTGACTTCAGGAGCAGGCGTGCAGTGTGGTGAGTGGAAGGTTGCCCCAACACTCTTGTTGTTGGTAGCAGATACCGGAGCCCTGTGGGGCAGCGAAGTGGCATGGCGCCAAAGACCCAAGGAGGATGGTGGCCAAGCTGGCGATGGAAACCCGGCTGTGAATACTGCAATGCTGGACAACTACCTCAAGAAGGCGCTGCCCATTACGTTTTCCAAAGGCCGTGGAAAAGATCAACCTCTTGCCCCTCATGAGACTTCCAAAGCCCGAGTGTCGATCGGTGCACTTCAATGGCCTGCTGGCCAAGCATGCTTGCAACTGAGTGCCTCAACATCCATCATTGCAGCCAACATCAACAAGGGCACAGTTGATTTGCTGAGGGAGCTCAACAAAACCCAGAGGTCTGAAAAGAGTTCAGCCGACCTCAAACTCACCATGCGCCCAGTTTGCCCAACATGGGACGACATGTGCCGGCCTTTTTCCTCAAATGCTGCTGTTCAAGTTCGAGCCGACTCAAGCTCACAAGGTGGTTTTGTCATCATCCTGACCAACACCTAGGTCCTGGAAGGCACATCCGTGCCTTACTCAATAGTGGCCCCCGGCGATCCTACAAACTTCCACGCGTGAGAGATCGAGCCTGAGCGCTGAAGCTCAGTCATGTGCCCTTGACGAGTTGATGATGGTCAAAATGCTTGCTTTGATGCATGGCCCTGATGCCGGCCCACGACATTCCAAGACTGCAGCTGACATTTGTGCCTCTGCAATCGTGGTCGGTGCCAAGGGACTGTCACACGCGGTCAACAAAGATGCGAAGCACGACAGACAAGCGAGCCCGGGTCGAGATCAAGTGCATCAAGGAGAGCTCATGCGTCAACATACGAAACTTAGATGGATGAGCTCTGAAAGGATGCTGGCGGATTGTATGACCAAAATCCGTACCCCCCAAAGTTTGGTTGACATGCTGTGGAGTGGCTACTTGAGCCTGGTGAAAGATGAACAATTCACCGCAGCCAAGAAGAAGGACAAGAAACACCGCGAGAAGTCATAAGCTGAAACTTTCCAGAGGTCCAACAGCAGCAACAACAACTTGAAACCTGACGATGCCGATGGCTTCACGTTGGGCTTTGTCCTGGTTGTAGCGTTCTTTGCGGTTTTGGCCCATTTCTGCGTGATCCTACGCAAGGTTGCTGTCAAGTGGTGCTGTCCACGGACTCCTGCCGAAACTGATGAGCTCCCCTGCCGAGGTCAATCCCTCTTTGCGATGTCACAACGAATCCAGAAGCTGGAGAAAGAGCTGAAGGATGAGCGTGAACAACACTCTCAAAAGGTCACCGCCTGATCTACAAGGTCCACTCTCTTGACGGAGCCTGTGAGGACCACAAGAAAACGTTTGAGAAAGAGCTGGAAAAGCAAGAAGAGCAAAAGATAGATCTTGGCATGGACATGAAGGAGCTGGCTTATAAACTCCATGCAATGGAAGGGTACTACCAAAGCAGAAGGAGTCATACGAGCGCAAGCTGGAGCCGCTGCTGTGGTGGTATGGCGTGGCATGCCCACCGCAATTGCCCAAGACCGAAACCGAGCCCAACTAGAAAGAGAGCACCGCAGGAGAAGAGCCCGGCCATGCTGATTTTCGAAGCATGGAGACAAATTGCATACTCCCAAATAATGTCAAGGTCTCGCCCAAAGTGAGCCACAGGTGAAAGACATGATGTGCCGTTTCTGCGCTCAAAAAGCCGTAGATGAAACGGGTGGCCTGCCAGTTTAGCTCCTTGCAACGTGTTTCAAGCGATGTGCTGGTGCCAAACACTCTTCCCCCTGTGTGAATTTCTCTTTGGAAATCCTGAGGACTTCAAACCAAGAAGCGTAACGTGAGTATGGCACTTCCAATCATTTCACATCTCACTGCCCTTGCCGCATCCGCTGGCAAAAGGGTGGGTATCAACTGACTGACCTGGCTACGCCATATCGAGGTAAAACGTGTGGTGCCTGCTGACTTCGGGAGCAGCCGGCGTGGAGTGTGGTGAGTGGAAGGTTCCCCCAACACTTTTGTTGCACTGCATATATACTTACATATATATATATATACTTACATAGATATATATACTTACATACATATATATATACCTACATATATATATATATACTTAATTATACATATATATACACTTACATATATATATACTTACATATATATATATACATACTTACATATATATTATATATATGTATATATATATATGTATAAACACACATATATAGATATATATACATACATACATATATGCATCGTATATACATGCACATTTTTTTTGGGTAAACTTACCGTACTTATATAATCCTATATATATATATATACATTTTGATCTTTTACTTTCACTTATATATATATACACACAATGTTATGTATATATACATATACATTTTTTTTAAAACCAAATATAGACTTGTAAATACATTTAGATATTTACTTATGTATATACATATATATATATGTATACTTGTATATATACATATATATACCAAAATATTTGTATGCATTGCATTTATACTTACATATATGTTCATATATTTATATCTACTTATATATATATATTTATACTTGTTTGTATATACTTACATACATATACATATACATAATTACACTTTATATATACATGTAAGTTTTTATGTATATATATATATGTGTGTGATGTTTTTTTTAGTTTTTCTCTGCGTACCTGCAAGTGCGTTTGGCTTGTCAGAACATCTAACGGTTCAATGGTTTGGCATTTCAACCAAGTAAATTGGGAATAAACTGCGTATGTACCTGTCTCTATCTACATATATATATATGTATTTATGATATGGGAAATAATATATACACTCCCAAACAGTACTAACGATCTTGTGTTTTTTCCAAACAGGGCGAGTTACCCCAAACTTCCACAACCATTTTTTTGAGAACAGCATCATGATAAACCATCATGTTTACCACGGGATGAAATGGGGTACCGGTTTTTAAGACAAAACTGGATTGTTGGATTTGGTCCAGCGATTGAAACTGCGGCTGATTGAAACCCAGCGACATTGGCAATGCGGCAGGCCATGAACTCTCACCTGGGGGGTGTTTTCGTGCAACTGTTGTTTCAATGTTGTTTTGGTTTTTAAATTTGGCACGAAATTATTGGTCCACACATTCAAATCCGAATGTACTACCAACCTTTTCCGAACGCTATTCAACAGGAACTGAGCAGCGAAGAAGAAAACTGTTTGATCTTTGCATCAAAAGGAGGACCTTCAAAAGTAGTCGAATCATCCGCAAACATGTTCCGGGGGATTCCAGGGGATTTTAGGGGGACGAGGTTGTGAATAAGAGGATTCATCGGGATTCCATGATATTTATCGATATTAAAATATAGTTTAGGGGATGCCAATATTAGGGATACTTTTTAAATATTGGTGGTGATTAATTTTAATATTAGAATTATAATGGCCAATATTCGTTGATTAGTAAATGCCAATGAAAATTTATATTTTAATCAACGAACCAAATGTTTCGACCAAAACTTTTGACCAAAACTGGTGGTTTTTGTCACTGGAGCTGGCCAGGCATTATGGTGCAGGTTGGGTCTTGTTTTCACAGTTTCGGACGGAACGGTGGTGGGTGGTTCATTTTTGTTTTTCATCCATTTCGAAGCATAGCATGGTATTTCTCGTTTGTAATGGATATTAATGGTGATTAATGGTTATTAATGGATATTAATGGTGATTAATGGTTACGTTTGCCATGTTTTTGTGCCATGTTTTTCTTCAGCTGAGTTTCCAGGCTTTGTCATGGCTCCTGCAGGGATGACCCATGAATTTCCGTCTTGACAGGCGTCCTTTCCTCCTTCCTTCATCGCGACCATCTTGCCTCTTGGCCGAAATCTCATGGCAAAGTTGGTAAATGTATTGGTAAATGTAGGGAAAAAAGGAGTTCAAAACATCGATCATGGAATATCAACAGACCAGGCTGTGTTCACGTTTTGATCGCTACCGCCGTGACTGCAATCCCAACCAAGCCGAAACGTCAGCATTGAAAGGAAGGATTCGGTAGGATCTGGGCACAATAGGAGCCTTGGTCATGTTTCAAAAAGAAAGAACGGTGATTTCAACTGCGACTTCTTGACACCGCTGGAATCCTGGAATTTCAAGAATGAACAAGACAGAGAAGGACATTCTCCATATCTTGAGTTTTTCTTTGTTTTCCTTTCCCCATGCCACTGTCCATCGAAGCGTCTGAAGCAGGTTCATCACCATAGGGGGGCTTGGCATCTTCCAATTGGTTTGGGGGCTCAGAAGTGGCTCCGACTAATACCAGGTCACATAACCATAAGTGCAGTGGAATACGATAGCACTTCCAACTGGAGATGAATATTTTAGTGGAGATTAGCTGTATGATGCAGTACTGGTCCAAGGCATCAGTTGGGGTCAAGGCATCAGTTGGGGTCAAGGCCAGCATGGGAACTATCTGAAACCAAGCCACTCTGATGGGAAAAATATGTCAATGGCGTTGCTCCCAAAATTGGAGTCAACAGACACTTCCACAGAAGAAAAGCTACAGATTTTGCCCAAGGGACGTGATGATATTCCACTGCGGCTTGGGACCCTTTACGCTTGGACATGAGGGGCCTGTGCCACTTCATTGGCAACCGATGCTTTCATAGCGACAACATATCCGGTTCCATCAATAAAAGTTGGACTCGTAGACACTGTGAAATTATGATATTCAAAAAAGTTGCTATAGATATTGTGACACACACACACATATATATCTTGGATATCTTATCTGCTCTAAATTCGTCAGACCGTACCCATCCCAGGCAGACAAGGTCCGATTTGCCCTTGGTCGCAACCTCAGCATCGGGGAGTAGGATCAGCATCAAAGATGCTGTCGATCTAACCGAGCTAACCGCTCTAACCAATGAAAACGGGGAAAAGCAAAAAAAAAACCAACTTTAACCAATGAACTGAGATATCAACATTATCATGGTCATGGTCATTTTTTTTTTGAGATTTGGATTTGACCAATCAACTTTGGTGATAAAGCACACTCCCCTCCCCACAGTGACCATATCTTTGCATAACCGGTAAGATATTTTTGCATGGTTAAAACATCCATTTTTTAAACCATCGAAAAATAGATTTAAACATCAATATTTACTTATATTCCTTATACAAATATCCCCATATTTTAGTGGTCAATATTGCATTGGCACCCAACCATTATTGAAACGACGCTGTTACTGGTGACTCAAGGTCCTTCCTTCTGGTCTTTGGACGCTGTTTGTCCGGTGCGAAGGGGAGGGCTTGGGCTCAGCAGTCGGGAGGGAGCCAACAGATGGGCGATTTGGAGCAAGAAACGACAATCACCTGGTGTGTCTATAGTTATGTAATAGCATGTTTGATATACATGTGTACATATGTATACATAAGATGTTTGATTCTCGACATATAGGTATATAGAACATGTTTCTATGTGTATATGTATGTACATGTACATATACATATATGATATATATATGTATACATTTATACATATTTTACCCTCTGGTAAATTAACATAGACCCTGGCAGATAGGGGTTGGAAGATTAGTGTCCATTAAAACTGGGCTATTTTCAAGGTCTATGTTAATTTACCAGAGGGTAACACATACATAGAATATTTTCTACATATGAATGTACATAATACATTTTTATATACATATCATATGCATATGATGTGTGTATATAACTGATATACTAGATTTAGCATGTGTAATTGTCTACATATACACTATGTTTTCCACAATCTATCTGTGTATTTATATATAATTTATCATATTGTGTACATTTGATTTGGCACAACATATTCATATATATATATACATGTATTAAGTTGTTTATTCTTGATACACAGAACATGTATTTTTTCTCGGACATTTCAACTAGATGGCACCAAAAGGCATTCGCGCCATGTCACCGCGTCGATATTTCTAGCCCAGAAACCAAATGAACCAACCACTGGAACCAAGTATGAAAATCAAGTAGCCACTGAATACTGCAAGTGTTCTTTGTAAGCTGTAAGATTACCTCAACTACTCACTCATCCACTCCACCAATCACTTAATCATCCACTCAACCCACCAGCCAAAGATCAACCATCCAACCGTTCAATTCATCCTTCCAACCACCAATCAAACAACTGCTCCCTGTAGGATGTCCAATTTGGGTGGTCCAATAAATTCTGAACTCTACTTGTATGATCACCCAAGTTAGTAAGTTTATATTCACCAGAAGTAGCAACTTCTACCACCATCCATATATAGGGTGATTTGCTTAGATCCCATTTATTAGTCCAATGCAGAGGCAAAAGCCATAGTTATTAGACTAATAGATGGCCCATAATATTGTTAACATGACGAGATCTATAAAGACGGGATTTTCTCGTCGGGTTACCCATCTGCTATACCATCTGCAGTCATGGCCCCAACCATTGGGTTCCCATCACCCGTTTTTTTGCAGGCAGATGGTAGCGTGAAGGGTGGTTTTGCCTGCGATGGAGGCATGACCTTGGTCGATGAGTCTTGGGCTTTGATTATGGGGATGAAACAGGGATTTCGCTTTGGTTTTATAGGGCTTGAATGATCACAGACATGGGGATATGATAGATATGATCATGGTTACCTGGTTTATGTTTCTTCTTTTTTGGTCGGGTGATACTACCCCATATGAATTGGGGACCATCGTCCATGAACTGGGAATTCCGTTCTTTAATCAAGCAGTACAATGGAATGACAGAGGGTTTTGAAAAGTGCTCACATGATTTCGGAGATGCTGATGTGGAAGCCCAGTATCAGATACACATTCACATCGTGAGATAGTACATATTCCCGAAGATGCCAATTCTTCAGGGAGTTTGTAGGATCTTTGTGTCTCTATGAGATGGCAATGGTGACACACACACGCTGCCAATGACCCTATGATCGCCATTCGCCCAACAGGCACAGTTGCACGGAGGCTGGAATGGGTCAAAGTTAAAGTGTACGAAAAGACCCACCAAATTGGTCATTTAGGATTAACCTATCCATGTTATCAGGGTTGAACAAAATGACCCATATGTATTGTACCATATTGTACCCATATGTGTAGTCATAGGTGTATAGTGTTCTGTACTTGCGTGATCACCCCGAAGATCTACTTGAGTTCCTATTGATGTTCATTAATGATCATGCGCCCTTGCAAAAAAAGAAACACAATCTCACGTTTTCATTTGGGTGTTGGGTGTTTCTTTCAAGATGGTTGGAAGACACATGTTTTGGTTTCCTCTTCCCATTCCTTTTGTATTAAACTGCAATGACATAATGTTTCTTTTTTGTCAAATTCATATGTTGTGCTTAAACCTTGTTCTTATTTCTATTTTTAACCTGTGCTCAAAAACTTCCCACAAAAGATGGCAATTTGGAATCAGTTCTTCAAACATGGCAATTTGGACCATCCCCCAAAAAACTGGATTCATTCCAGGTCAGCTTACAACATCTCGGGCGCTGAACAAGTCGTGAACCCAGATTTCTGTGAGGTCAAAGATTGGTATGACGGTATGACTCAACAAAACAGGCCGAAACAATATTTTTTTTTTGGTGATTAGACCATCCAATTCAGGGTCCAACACTGGACCGCCACAGGATTGGATGGACGAGGTCGCTTCGTTTTGTCGTTTTGTACTTGGTGATTTCGGGTGGTGGATAGTTTCGAGCCATCCACAATTTAAGATCTCCCCTTTGACATCAGCAAGCAGGGAAAGAAGCAGGTCACGTTTCCAGACATTTGGGAAATCCTACACCTTTTGTCAAAGAAATCCTGAAGTGAAAAAGACCTGCGGATCTTTTCATGTCGATCTGGAGGGACATCTAGGACGAGGTTTGAAACCTCAGATTTTTAAACGGTCGTGGTAGACACGGAATCCTCAAAAAATCAGAGGGACTAACATATCCACGGCAGGCCAGTGCTGATTTCCTCCTCGTTGGCAGATAAAAACGCGATCTCATGGCTGGTTTAGAGGGGAAAGTGACCCTTCTCATAAGCCAGATTTTGAAGTCTGATACTTAGCAGACTGAGCAAATTTGGAACGCTTTTTTCTTTACCAGCAGTCACGAAAACAATGACGCCCACTGAGTCCATTGATATCCCAGCTCCAGTTGAGGTGCGCCGCTTGAGCAGTGTCCGGTGTGCCCAGTGTGCCCAGTCTGATGGTGATGGTGATCCTGATTGACATTTTTTTGAATCGGATTGTTACGCGTGTGTTCTGTTTTATGCATTTGGCTTCTTATGTAAAACATGGATGAACTTGAGTTTAGAGATGAATGAAGCAAAAAAAAGAGATGAACATGGATGAACACGGATGTAAAATGGATGTACCATGGATTTCTATGAATGAAAACCCACGGAACGTGGGTGTTTCACCTGGACAACCAACCGATGGCACATGTTTAAATGCGAAAGGTCCAACAGCCAAGTTTTTTTCAATCGATCCCAGGATCGCAACATTTAATGGATTTTTACATCCCATAAACATGGATAAACATGGATAAATATGGATAAACATACTATAGATTAATTTTATTGCAGCATATGGGCTTCCGGCATGGGCTGGCTCTATGCTGTGGTTTTTAATGGATGGTTCAAGGGGCGGTACCCGGGTCCGAGGTGACAAGCTGTGACTTTGACCACGTGCCCTGGCGACGAAAGACACAGTTTCATATTTTCTTAACATTTTACTGTCCTTAATTTTGGTTGATACCAGTTGATACCAGATAAATTGGCCAATATCACCCAAACAAAAACAGAAAAATGAGACCCGAAACCATGGTCTTTAAGGGTCGTAGTTCTTACTATGGGGACGCAATTAAGTGACATTCATATGAGTCAGTTCAAAGCTGCGGTAACCACATTTTTTTTGGTCTTTAGCAATTTGAAGGAAAAGCATCTGATAAAGGAATATTATATATATATGGTACCCCCCCCTGAGATCTACCTCAGAGCATTTTGATATATTGTCTCTACATGTATATATATATATATAATATTCATGTGCATATATGTATAAGAGTCAGTTATTTTTTAAAGATGTCTTGTGGGTAGTAGCTGTGCACACTATCAAAACAAGTTGGAAACAAAAAAACAATATTTGACGACTCTTTGGGAGAGAATCCATGGGGAAAACCCAAAAAAACAAAAAACGTCGAGAAAACCAACAAAAAACAATATTTGGAGACTCTTTGGGAAAGCTCTATTGACAAAATCAAAAAAACCTCGAGAAAACCAAAAAACCAAAAAACCAAAACTTTTCAGAGAATGTTTGGTCTGAGGCTCATGTTTGTTTTTTTTTGGTTTTGCCTAGTTTTTTTTTGGCTTTTTTTGGTCTTGACCTTGAAAAAACTAAAACAAACTCAAGGTTTTTTTTTGTTTTTTTAGATAAAATGATGGTTAAAGAAGTGTGAAAAACAAAAAACTCAAGGTTTTTTTTTGTTTTTGGGTGTTTGTGGCTTTAGTTTCTTTTTGGCTGCGCAATGAAAAACCAAAAAAAAACTTTGAGTTTTTTTGGTTTTTCACACTTCTTTAACCATCATTTTATCCAAAAAAACAAAAAACACTTTAGTTTTTTAGTTTTTTCAAGGTCAAGACCAAAAAAACAAAAAAACCTAGGCAAAACCAACAAAAACCAAACATGAGCCTCAGACCAAACATTCTCTGAAAAGTTTTGTTTTTTTGTTTTTTTGGTTTTCTCGAGGTTTTGGTTATTTTGAATCTTCCTAAGATTCAACCCAAATCAAGAAAACTCTAAGTATAAAGTAAGACAGCTGAGGAGCTAGCTATGAAATATCCAGAGAGCAAATAGAGGGTATTATAGGGTCTATGTGATTGTTCCCTTTCTGGCTTTCATTCAATGGAAAATAGTTAGCTCCATTAAACTAATTACATGAATTAAATAGATTTTCCATTTAATTCATTTAATTAATTACACGAATTTAATGAATTTAATTAGTTTAATGAATTAAATGAATTAACATTCAATTAATTAAAAGAATTTAATGAATTTAATGAATTAAATAGATTTTCCATTTAATTCATTTAATTAGTTTAATGAATTAAATGAATTAAATAGATTTTCCATTTAATTCATTTAATTCATTTACTTCCTGGTGTCCCCAGATTCCAGAAACAGGTTTCCATTTAATTTATTTAATTCATTCAATTCATTTAATTCATTAAACTAATTAAATGAATTAAATGAGTTTAATGAATTAAATGAGTTTAATGAATTAAATATATTTTCCATTTAATTCATTTAATTCATGAAATTAATCAAATGAATTATTTGAATTAAATGAATTAAAAAGATTTCCATTTAATTCATTTAATTCATTCAATTCCTGGGGTCCCCAGATTCCAGAAACAGTTTTCCATTTAATTTATTTAATTCATTTAATTCAATTAATTCATTCAACTAATTAAATGAATTAAATGAATTTAATGAATTAAATAGCTTTTCCATTTAATTTATTTAATTCATTTAATTCATTTAATTCATTAAACTAATTAAATAAATTAAATGAATTAAATAGATTTTCCATTTAATTCATTTAATTCATTAAATTAATTTAATGAATTTAATGAATTAAATATATTTTCCATTTAATTCATTTAATTCATTTAATTAGTTTAATGAATTTAAAAAAGTTTCCATTTAATTCATTTAATTCATTTAATTCCTGGGGCCCTCAGATTCCAGCAACAGTTTTCCATTTAGTTTATTTAATTCATTTAATTCATTTAATCCATTAAACTAATTAAATGAATTAAATGAATTAAATAGATTTTCCATGTAATTCATTTAATTCATTAAATGATTGAAATGAATTAAATGAATTTATTGAATTAAATAGGTTTTCTATTTAATTCATTTAATCCATTAAACTAATTAAATGAATTTAATGAATTAAATAGATTTTCCATTTAATTCATTGAATTCATTTTAGTTCCTGGGGTCCCCAGGTTCCAGAAACAGTTTTCCATCTAATTTATTTAATTCATTTAATTCATTAAACTAATTACATAAATTAAATGAATTAAATAGAGTTTCCATTTAATTCATTTAATTCATTAAATTAATTTAATGAATTTAATGAATTAAATATATTTTCCATTTAATTCATTTAATTCATTTAATTCCTGGGGCCCTCAGATTCCAGCAACAGTTTTCCATTTAATTTATTTAATTCATTCAATTCATTTAATTCATTTAATTCATTTAATTCATTAAACTAATTAAATTAATTCAATGAATTAAATGAATTAAATAGATTTTCCATGTAATTCATTTAATTCATTAATTAATTCAATGAATTAAATGAATTTAATGAATTAAATAGGTTTTCTATTTAATTCATTTAATTCATTAATCTAATTAAATGAATGTAATGAATTAAATATAATTTCCATTTAAATTCATTGAGTTTGACCATGTATGTCTCCAGAAGAGCATCAAAAGTAGATCTTAGGGGGGGGGCTAGCATATATATATATGGTCCCGTGTCTCGTGTTCCCACCCCCCCCCCCCCCCCCCCCCCATGGGATGGGGGGGGGGTATGATGCCCCTGTGGTGGTGTATATACATACATACATACCTACATACCTACCTACCTACCTACATACCTACGTACATACATACATACCATTACATTACCTTACCTTACATTACCTTACCCTACATTACCTTACCTTACATTCCATACATACATACATACATACATACATACATACATACATACCAACATACCAACATACCAACATACCAACATACCAACATACCAACATACCAACATACCAACATACATACCAACATACCAACATACCAACATACCAACATACCAACATACCAACATACCACCACCACAGGCCACAGGGGGGGGGACCAGAAGAACCATACCACCACCACAGGCCACAGGGGGGGGGGGGGGGGACCAGAAGAACCATACCACCACCACAGGCCACAGGGGGGGGGGGGACCAGAAGAACCAGACGATACTGTCCACCCATACCCATTGGTGGGGGGGGGGAGGGGGGTGGCCAACGCTGCACCATATATATATATACATATTTATATATATATATGAGTCCGGACTCCGGATCCCTCCTGGGTCATATATATATATACATAGAGTATTGGATATTTTAGGGGCACCCCATTTGTAGACAAGACGCCAAAGATATTTCAAGGGGAAAAAGGGTACTCCAAGCCTTGAGGTAGCAGCTCTTAGCCACGGGTCGCTTTGGCCACCGACCAAGCCCATGCTGTTGCCAGCCCCCACAGGCAATCCTGTTGGAATGCAGCCAATGAATCATGGAAAGATATGGCTTTGTTTAAGAGTGGGGTAGCCCCAAACTCTGTGGTTTATAAGATATATCATCATTTTCCCCATGAAACATGCCATTTAGGATCATTTTGGTGTACGGTCGATTTTCAGAGAAACCCATATGAACAGATGGGATACAACCAACATGGCTGGGGATGATACTATGGGATGAACATTTGGGAATTCACTGTGATGGGACAATATGGGATGATACAACCAACGACATTTGATGTGGGAATGGGCATTTGAATGGGGACACTGATGATGATCCGTTGGAATTTATCCTATTGACAAACCCACAGTTCTGTGCTGTAGCCACTGGATCTGGGGTTGATTTCATCTTTTTCCCCACATCTTTGTGTGGGGTTCTTGTTTTTGATTCTGTATCCCGGGTTCTTCCCCGCCTCTCCGCCTCCCCGCCTCCTCCTCCCGCCTCCGTCACTTTGTCAACAAACACACATCATCTTTCACACACAACTTTGTCACACATCATCTCACACATATTCTTTCACACACAACTTTGTCACACATCATCTTTCACACACAACTTTGTCATACACAACTTTGTCTCCGCTGTCACACACCATCTGTCACACATCATTTGTCACACATCATCTCACACATCTTCTTTCACACACAACTTTGTCACACATCATCTTTCACACACAACTTTGTCATACACAACTTTGTCTCCGCTGTCACACACCATCTTTCACACACACAATTTTGTCACACATCATCTCACACATCTTCTTTCACACACACAACTTTGTCACACATCATCTTTCACAAACAACTTTGTCACACATCATATGTCACACATCATTTGTCACACATCATCTCACACATCTTCTTTCACACACAACTTTGTGGCAGGCGTGGCACTTGGCGACATCCACCTTCGTTTTGCGTGGCAGGCGTGGCACTTGTGGCATTGGGCTGGCTGTGCTGGCGCGCTTGGACCGGATTAGTCGCCGGTGATGCCGCGGCATTTTGCCTGGCAGGCGCGCACTTGGCGACATCTACATTGGTTTTGCGTGGCAGGCGTGGCACTTGGTGACAATATAACTGCGTTTTGCTTGGCAGGCGTGCCACTTACAGCACTAGGCCGGCTCTGGTGGCGCGCTTGGACCGGATCAGTCGCCGGTGACGCCGCGGCACTTTGCGTGGCGGGCGTGGCGCTTGGCGACATCTACTTTGGTTTTGCGTGGCAGGCGTGGCACTTGGTCACATCCACCTTCGTTTTGCGTGGCAGGCGTGGCACTTATGGCACTGGACTGGCTCTGGTGGCGCGCTTGGGCCGGTTTTGGTCGCCGGTGACGCGGGGGCACTTTGCGTGGCAGGCGTGGCACTTGGTGACATCCACCTTCGTTTCGCGTTCTTTCACACACACCATCTTTTACACACCATCTTTGGCCCCCAACTTTTACACACCATCTTTGAAACCCAACTTTGTCACACACCATGTTTGAATCACCATCTTTCACACACCATGTTTGACACACCATCTTTCACACACCATGTTTGACACACCCTCTTTCACACACCATCTTTCACACACCACCTTGTCACACACCATCTTTCACACACCACTTTGTCTCACACCATCTTTCACCACACCATCCTTCACACACCACTTTGTCACACACCATCTTTCACCACACCATCTTTCACACACAACTTTGTCGCACACCATCTTTCACCACACCACCTTTCACACACAACTTTGTCACACACCATCTTTCGCCACACCATCTTTCACACACCACTTTGTCACATACCATCGTTCACACACAATTTTGTCACACGCTCTCTTTCACACACAACCTTCACACACACCATCTTTCACACACAACTTTGTCGCACACACACACACACGCACACCATCTTTCTTTGTCCACACCATCTTTCACATACAGCTTTGTCACACACAACTTTGTTTTACTTCTGGATCCTCCACCACCTCCTTTGTCTTTCCTTCCCTGTCCCCGCTACAACCTTTGGTGCTCATTATTGGAAGAAGTTGCGTTGTGGGGTTATCCGGTCCTTCAATTGTGGGGTAAAGGGTGTATTTTTTTTATCACCAAAACGGTGGCAAACAACCCAAACCCATTGGTGAATAAATATGTGTGTGTATATTATACATAGCTGTATACAAACATTGTTGATGAACGCTACCATTTTACTGGTAATTTCTGGAAATCCAACGAGCTCTGATTTTCCTGGGTACAGTAAGACTCATATATATATAATATCATATATACATAGTATATCATATACATATACATATATAATATATCATATATATATATATCATACATATATAATATATCATATATATATATAATATATATATATAAATATTATATATCACTCATATAAAAATATAATATATCATATACACATATAATATATCATCATATATATAATATAACATGCATATATATGTATATATTCCCCGTTAGTTATCGTGTATGGCACAAAATATGATAGCCATGCTAGGGCCTGGTTATACGCATCATGGACAAAGGATTCATGGCCATGTCTGTGGGGAACTGTGTGCCCTATGGGAAACCTGGAGAAATTTCCGCTACGGATGTTCAAGGGTGAGCTGGGTGATTGACAGCAGTGGTGATGGTAAAACATCGATTGCAAAAAATGGCCTATTTTAGGGTCCTGTTCACATACAGTACCTGACTTGGATGGATGTCAAAAAGGGTCCTTTAAAAGTCCTTTAGTCAAAACATGCACTTCTGGGGCTGGATCTGACCAGGCACGCTTTTAGGATCTTTTAGGTAACTTGTGCAAACATCCCAGCAGCTACGAAGATGAAGGACTTCCCAGTAGCTATGTTAGGGCGCGTCCTGCAGTCACCTAACATAACTATTGAAATCCACGGGTTTTTCTTGAACATGACCTCTAAACATGGTGGGTTTGTCCATGTCTACCTGTCAGCTTGCTGGAGGGTCATTTGATCACAACTTATCTTTCTCATGAAAAAGTTATGTTTGACTCCAATCTGATCTCATTCGAAAAGTTTTTTCCAGATTGATACATCTTTTCTTGGCTGAATTTTGTGGACGGATGTGCTGAAAACACGTTCCCAATCATTGGGTTTTCGCAACAAGGTCGTTTTCGCAAAAAGGTCATCCAGTGATATGACTGAGTAATTAAAGGTATTCTACCATAGATTGGTTTGTGGGATTCTTATTTGCTAACATGCATATCCCATCATCAGAAACTTTGTTTGCCGTCTTTGAAAATTCACAACATACATAACGTTTGATGAAAACTCGAAGAGGTATTGGCAGCAATGTGTGCCATATAAGACTCAAAAGTCATCCTACGAAATCAGATTGGGTCGAACAAATATTCGGAAGTGATGCTCTGAGAGAAGCTATATTCGTGTGAAACAGCGACAGTAGCAGACAGAAGCCACGTCAGTAGTATTCCATTTTTTTGGCCATGCCAAGAGAACAGCCACGTCAGTGGAAACCTTCGTTCAGGACAGCTGATTTGAGCTGCTATGTTAGTGCTGTTAGTGGTTTTCAGAATGGACGGTCTTCAGCAACTTGGCTAGTTTACAGGATAAAAAAACAAATTCCAAGCTTTTTTTCCCTGACGTTGCTTGACATTTTGGTGGTTAGACTCTAGACCCACTGCCCACAGTGAATTCACCCACAGATTTCGACTCTTTCCACAGACAGCTTACCTCACTAAGGTAGATCGTGTGCCTTCAATGATAGTTAGAACATGTTAGAACACCCTGTGACATTGTAAAGCAAAACAAATGCATCTAACTAAGGCGTCGCTTTCAAACTGTTCTCCAGTTCCTGTGAAGATTTTTCTGCTTTCTCCAATGCCAGATTGCTTTGTGGTCTCCTGCCCCACATCAACTCAAGCAAGGTTCTCAGCCAAGGTTTCAGGCAAGGTTTTGAAGCAAGGTTTTCAAGGCAAGGTTTCTAGGGAAGGTTCCCTGGTTCGTGCGCCATTTCTAGGTACAATTCTTGGGACTTCGGGATTCTTCTCAGCAGGTTTCCCAGCTAAAGGTTCCAAGGTTTCCAGGGAAGATTCGCAGGCAAGGGTCCGAGTGACTGCTTTCCGCACAGACCAATAATGCCTGGCTCGGTGATTGCATGGCTTGCAGAATTATGTTTTTTCACATCTGCCCCTATCCCAGTGAATCAACGCACTGGGCGCTGTTCTGGGAGGATGACTTTTGCATCCCCAAGAATTGCCGCAGTACTGTTAAGATAGGTTGACACCAAAAACCAGCAGCTAGGGCTGCTAGGGTAATAGCTTGATTGTTTTCGATGGGTCCAGCCGTTGCGAGCACAGATTTGCTGGCTTGGGAGACGCTATCAAAGCCGGAGGATAATTCACAGCGCTTCATTGAAACAGAAGCTGCGTCAGAGCTGCCCGAGTGGATGCAGTCTGCTATTAGGGAGGGTGCCTGAGTCGACATTGCTGCAAATGTGGTTCTTTCAGCGAGCTGAGAGTGATCGGATTTAAAGCAAAAGGCTCAGGTCTGCCAGCAGTGTGTGCGTGGCTCGGCGACAAGGAACGATGCATTTTTCCGCGCTTCTGACACATACAGGCTTCAACGAGGCTTTTGGAGCGGGGCTTGGATGTTTGTTGACATCTTCTTAGGTCGCTGTTTCTCGCCCTGTTGTTCTTCAGGTTGGTCGTTGGAGCAATTCCGCGAGGGAGCTCAGGAGGGGTGAGTGGTGGCAGGGCAATCTTAAACAGGCACCCGAACCTCCAGGGACGGCAGAGGTTTTGGCTGAGATGGCGGTCTCAATTTATACATTTGAATCATGATATTTCATGATGCTGCTAAATGCTTGAATCTGCTTGTTGAGTTTGCTTGAGGTAGAGAAAGCTTTGTGGAACGTTTCAAGGCGTGCCGCCCGTTGCCAAAAGCACCATTGTCTGGTGCTTGAATACATCGTTTTGACACAGCGTTTGCAGCATTTGTAGATGCAACATGATGCAACACGTTTTGGATTCGTTTACGATTCCAGATGTTGAAATGGTGTTGTTGAATTTCAAAGGCCGCGTAACGGTATCCACAACAAAATGTATCATTAAAATCTTTTTCCGGGAATCAACCAAAATTAATCTGGAGTCGATGTTCATGCTTTCGTCCCAAAGAACAGCTGTCACCTTCCCCTATGAACATGTGGCCAAACCTTTTTCGAAGAGTGGCGCGCTGAGATCCACTGATTTGCGTGTGGAAAATTGAAATTATTTCCAACGGTTGGTTTGTTGTCAAAGTTTTGGTCAACAAGTCTTTGTCGCACAGATGATGGTTTCATAAAACTAGGCATTCGAAACCTCCCGATTGATGTAAAATTATCAAAGTGAATTTGGTTGAAACTACGGTATCCGCAAACTTGATGGTTGATCAGCATTTCTCTTCTTCAAACGGCAAAAAAACAGGGGGTATACCGCATTTTCACACACACACACACACCCAAATCAATTTTTGTTGGTCATATCATCCCTTATCATCCCATGACAGATAATCCCAAATCTTTCATCCCACATATCATCCCCAGCTATGGTTGGTTATCCCATAGCAATATCTATCCATGATTCATCGGCTGAGTCCCAAATGTTGATGTTCAAATCCCCATAAGTTGGTAGATTTGCCATAAATTTCCCATATGGGTATGTCTGAAAATGGAGTATATCACCTATTTATGGCCATTTCGAATTAGAAAAAAACAAATGAAACATGATGATAAACAATGGATAAACTAGGGTTTTAGGGGTTCTTTTAAGCGACACCCAGGTAGATTTGCCATCTCCCAGATGGAAATTGGGGTAACCACCTTGCCATCCACGGCCCTAGACTTGGCGTTGGCCATTGAGCACTTTTCTGTTGGGAACCAATGACCTGGGTGGGACCTGGACGTGTGACCATTGGATGTTCAAAAAAAGGGATATACATGATATATGATACACACACACACACATATATATATATACATACCTACATACCTACATACCTACATACCTACATACCTACATACCTACATACCTACCTACCTACCTACCTACCTACCTACATACATACATACATACATACATACATACATACATACACACATACACACATACACACATACACACATACGTACAATATGTATATCTATGTGTATAGCTATATAAATATATGTATGTTACTATTTAAGTGACGTTTTGATGTTGCTGCTGAGCAGTATTGTGTTTGGATGCTAATCTTTGTTTCTGGCCAGTTCGGGCGAGATGCTCAAATTTACTGTCCATGTTTTCGTTCATGGGGAGTTGCTCAAATGTAGGTCATTTGTGTTTGGCAATGATTGGGGTATGAACCAAACAGTTTGGATATGGACACACCAGACATTTCTTCAAAAGATTTGTCACTCCGATTGGTCTTGTATGATCAACTCCGAAAATAGGACGCGATCTGTATCAGCCGCTAACCCATAAGAAATCAAGGTGGAGACTATATTTATGGCCATTTCCTGAAGGGAGACTCATTTCTAATGCAATAATTGTGTGTCCGAAGTAAGTCTTCCCACGTTTGACCCTTGACCGCTTCTCAGGCGTGATCCGTGGCTCACTTTGGTGGACCAGAAGGCCAAGAAGGGTTTCGGCGGGACCACAGATCCTGTTCACTGGAGAGTGATACCCTGCGAGGGTACACAATTTTGATCCAAATCGCGCTGAAACAAAGATACATCATGATACATCTAGCATCTTAGAAGGATATCACTATCACCTTAAGAGAAATAGAGTTTTTTGGCTCGTTGCCAGTGGCAAATTTCAAATGTCTTCAAGCATGACGGGTGTCGCTGGTGGCCAACCAAACTGATATAAAACAACGAACCATGCCCGAGATATGGGGGTTGAACACTGAATTTCCCGACCTTTCTTGGAACGAGAACGTGTCAAACGCGTATGGATCAACAACGCAAGTGGATGGTTTGATGAAATGCAAATCTTGTGCCCATTGGGCAAGTTTGACTCACATAAACTTAGAACTTCTTTGGACAACTTGTATGCAGTGTCGTTGTCCTCTGATGTTTGCAATCAATGGGATTCAAGGCAGTTGCGCGAGGTAGGTGACATTTCCAGCTGAGCATGAACTCCGATTCATTCAGGTAACCAGAGTGAAGTCAAGGATCCAAACTTCATTGACAAAGCTTGGGCTATCTTCGTTGCGGTTTGTTGCACCACAGATTGGTCAGGCCCTCACACTAAGAAGTGCACACTAAGAAGTGGTCAGTCGTGTTGGTTTTAGGGTATATACATAGATGCTTCTTGGCTGGCTTTACGCTCCGCTTTTTAGCTTCTACACCTGTTGATGGTGCTTCTGCATGGTGATATATATATATATGGTTGAGGCAACGAAACCATTTTTACAGTAGACATATCCATAGGTTTAGCATTTTCCATTTCTTCTAGATTTCCATAGTTTTCCGAAGATTTTTGGTTTTCATCACTTGCCCCCATGGCTTGTGCCTGCCAGCCATTCGTAGGGCTCAGTGCGCTCCAGAGCGGTGGAAGTGTCCTTAGAGGAGTAACCTGCCCTGGATGAAATGGCTTTGGTACCTGGTATCCTCGGGTTATTTAACAGTTTGCTCCGGAAGCCATGGCCCATAGAAATAGATGATTTATGATGCTTCACAGTTCCTAAAGGTTGATTTTCCGGTTCGCAAACGGGGAAATAACCAGAGGCTTAGAGGAAATCTAGGAACTTTCAGGGAAATTTAGTTGGACATGTTGCTAAATTTGGATAGAATGGGATGTTCCCTAAATGGTGAATGGGACATTTGCGACAATTTACGGGAACATCCCACTCTATCCACTGCTGAAATGAGGATCATTTGAATCATTTTCCCTATGAGCATTGCCATAAATGGGGTTGGGGGGGTAGAGACGTTGTTTTTAGACCCAAATTGTTCTGGAATAGTGATAACGATATTTTGTTATCCCATTCCCCCCGCTCAGTGACCCACTACATTCCACCAGGACGTTGTTCGAGGGGTATTGCATATTCAGGGAAGGGACCGATTGGTACTAATGGTAACAATCCCAAAAATCAGGTGTGGAAATTCGTGAATCACCATTCATCCAGAGACCCCAGCCCTGCCCATTTCACTAGGAGAAGATGTTTCTGCCCTAGATTTAGACGAGTTTTCTCTTTAAAACATCAACATAAAGGCATAAAGGTGATTTTTCAAAATAGAATTGAGGTCGATCGACAGAAGAGACCGATGCAGAAACATTTTGGTTCACATTTTGTTCATCCTTCATAAAGTTTGGCCCCCTGTTTCGGAGCGGGGGAAAAGTTTATGCTTAGGGGGGCAACTTGATATATAATTTTCCGCATTGATGAACTTTTTCAGTTTGGGTTTAACAGTTCAACACCAGTTCAACGGTTCAACAGTCGCCAGCTGCGGATCGCTGACCAGGTACCTGCAGCTTCGCAATGTCACGGGGCGCAACATTTTTCTGTTCCTTCGAGATGAGAGCGCTCTAAAGGAGGCGTGGCTTTCAGTGGGGCACTGCAGTTGGGGTGGTTGATTTTTTCAGGATTTGAGGAGCTTGTCAAGTCATGGGAACGGGTCAATTTATATTTGTTGTTTCTACTATATAGTATGTATTACGATATTATTAATTATTATCATTTATGACCAGTAGTACCGCACAAGGCGGTGGCGGAAATTTCAAAAATAGGAAACCTATAGGAGAGGTTGGTTGTTGTGAATCATGGATGGCAGAGCGAATCCACTGATGGATCGAAAGGTGATTGATGTCTCCTCTCTTTCTCTCTCTTTTTCTCTCTTTCTCTGATTATCTACCTACCTAGCTAGCTATCTATCCATCCGTCCATCCATCTATCTCTCCCTCTGTCTGTCTGTCTATCTATCTGTCTACCTACCTATTCTATTCTATTCTATTCTATTCTAATCTAATCTAACCTATCTCTATCTCTACCTCTACCTCTATCTCCATCTCCATCTCCATCTCCATCTCTATCTCTGTCTCTGTCTCTATCTCTATCTCTATCTCTATCTCTATCTCTATCTCTATCTCTATACCTATCTCTATCTCTATCTCTATCTCTATCTCTATCTCTATCTCTATCTCTATCTCTATCTCTATCCATCTATCTATCTTTCTTATCTTATCTTTTCTTATCTTATCTTATCCTATCTTATCCTATCCTATCCTACCGATCTATCCATCTATCCATCTATGCATCTATCCATTTATCCATCTATCTATCTATCTATCTATCCATCTATCTATCTATCTATCTATCTATGCCTTTACCAATCTATCTATCTGTCTATCTATCTATCTGTCTGTCTGTCTGCCTGTCTGTCTATCTATCTGCAAGCTTGAAAACGAAGCTATTCTGCGAGACTTTCTCAGTTTTTAAACTTGACAACATCAAAAACGCAGCAATCCTGCGAGACTTCCTCAATTTTCGAACTTAACAACGTCAAAAACGAAACAATCCTGGGAGACATCTTTATTTTTCAAAGTTGACAACATCAAAAACGAAGCCCCGGTGTTTTCAACATGTTGACTTCGAAATGTGCTTCGCGCCACAACGGCGTGCACTTTTTCGACATCTCAACTTCCAAATGTGGTCCGAACGTGAAATGTTTTTAGCTTTTTTCACTTGCACATGCGCTTCGCGCCACAACGGCGTGCACTTTTTCGACATCGCAACTTCCAAAAGTGATCCGGACCTGGTGTGTTTTGTACATTTTGACTTCCAAATGTGCTTCGCGCCACAACGGCGTGCAATTTGTCATCTCTCATCTGGCCAGATGGCTCCGCCCGCCGCTTTAGCGAGCCTACTTTTCGACCCTCCGGAGCCACAAGTCATTGGAAAAACGGAGTGTTTCGCGACTTTCCTACGTTTTCGCACATCTGCATCTTCTTTCTTCTGACTCTTTCTCTTCTCTGATCTTCTCTCTTCTACTCTTCTCTTCTCTCTGACTCTTCCCATCTCTGATTTTCATCTGTCCATATTGTCGGAAGTTTGACTTCTAAACTTCCTTCGGTTATTACTATAATAATAATAGTAGTATTATTATTAAACCATCTATTTTTTCCTTTGATGAATTCTCGCAGCTCGCGAGCAATCGTAACATGGATTCCGAAGATCTTAGGTGTGAACCTATAGGATGAGCTCAATAGATCCAGTGAACCATGGTTTTCAAAGGGAACATTCAACCATCAAGTAGGGATGGTAAAATCTTTATGATTTACGAAGAATCATGGTAAGAATGCGGGAATGGGATGGAATGATGGTTTCATCATCAAACAAATTGGATGGTTAAATGATCCGAAGTATCACAGAATTTGGATGGTTTCATGACCCTTTTTCCTTGTCGATAACTTTCCGCCCCGTGCAGGGCCCGGAGCGTGCAGAGCTCCGACATCGATTTTTTGAGGCCTGACACCACCATGGGCTGATGGGCTGTGCTGTCCAAGCAGCATGAGGCTCGAATGGTTTAACCAGCACTAAAGCTATGTCTGAGCAGTGAAACCAAGGGTACGGTTTGTGTATCTATTTGGAGGTTTTGGAAGAGCACTTGCTCTTGGGCTTGGTGTTTGGTGTTTCAGGTCTCCCGCTTTCGGACATAGGCAGCAGATGCAATAAGAGCAACGAAACCACTCAACAAATATGTGGGCGTTCCTCCCCCTTCTCAGGCAAGCTTCAAAAAGAGGGTGTTTTCTGAGGGCAGCCAATTCTTAGGAACCGACAAGATTGCTTATTATGATCGTTCAAATGAAATCCACATATATGTTGGCTAAATTCACGTTTGTGTTGATTACATTGATTACATTCATTTTTTTGGTATCAAACTCTTTGTGCATTTGCCCCTCTCGTGATTTCACCCTCATATCCCTGGCACAAAACGACAAGGCTGTTCCCAGCGATGAGGATGGACAATTGAAACCGGAAACCAGTAGATTTTCCCAATAGGATCAACCCAATGGTTGATTCATGTCGATTATATTGCTGATCATAGAATATTTGGGATTTTCCCAAAGCAAGTGGGGATCACAAAAAAAAACATATATATCAGCTATATGGGGATGGGCCAAAAACTATTATTTACCATATGACTGGGGGTATCCCCATGGGCTTCCCCAGGGGTTTCCCGAGCCACCAGACCTTGGAACTGGAGCTGCCAGCGATGTTTCGCACTGCGCTGCGCATCTTCGCTATGGATGGCTTGGCCTCGGGCCACGGTGCGGCCAGAGATGGTGGAAATGCTGGAAATCACCTAGAAATGGTAGAAAGCCCCTAGAATTTATAGGGAAATGGTGGAGTCCCTTAACAATAACAATCCCTATCAATTCCGGGATTTGTTTGATTTACTGGCGAGAAAGATGGAATTCATCCAAAGGATCGGGAGTTGAAGTGGCCAAAACGGTGCGCAGTGATTGAAACAACAAGACACGGAGGTTTTTATTAACGAATATGGAGGAAAGTATGAATGTCGGTATATCCAAAGTTGGAGAACTGGACAACCCCACAGGAAAAAATCCCCACAGTTTGGAATTGTAAACATCTCCTTCTGGTGGTTGTTCCAGCAAGATACCTCTAACTATATTAGACCTTCAACTTCTTGGGTATTGAATGATGAATTACCCCACTACATCACATTATATCCCTACATATCCCTTATATCTCAATAGATTCCCATGATGTTTGTATATATATTCCAAGTCAGAAACTATCGAGTCGAATCAGCGTCACGGGGCTGCGTCTGGAATCAGCATCCAAACGTTCCAATCAGCGTCACAGAATCAGCGTCAAAGACGATCCTGAATGGTCGGGATGGCCGGGATGAGAGTTTCTTTAGGGTTTCTTCAGTTTTTTTTCAATGGTTTCTTTAGGGTTTCTTTAGTTTTTTTTTAAAAAATTAGGGTTTCTTTAGGGTCTCTTTAGGGTATTCTTGAAGGTTTCTTTCGGGTTTGTTTGGGTTTAGGGTTTCTCTAGGGTTTCTTAAGTTCCCCAAACAGTGTGTCCACACTGAGGGGCTCTTACGGCAGGTGTTAAGGCCCGGTGTTCAATCGAGGTGGTATCGGAAGCGTCCGGCATTTTCCCTGTAAATTTCCGCACAAAATGCCTGTTGTGACATGTCCATGTGCATTTCGACTGCGCAGGCTCGCACAAAACGGGTGTCGCGGGATACGGGTCCGGCATTTTCCCTTTCCCCGGAGGTGTCCCCGGTCGTTTTTCCTGTAGAATTCCATACAAAGTGGCTGTTGTACTTTGTCCATGTGCACTTCGACTACGCAGGCTCGCACAAAACGATGTCCCTGGAGGTGTCCACGGCCATTTTTACTTTAAAATTCCATACAAAATGGCTCTTGTGCAATGTCCGTCTGCATTTCGACTGCACGGGCTCGCACAAAGTGTGCTTCCCGGTCTTGGGATCGGTCTTCCTCCTCAACATCCTCCTCCTCCTCAACATCATCATCTTCCTCCTCCTCAACATCAACATCAACATCAACATCATCATCTTCCTCTCATGGTCATCATGATCATCATGATCATCATGATCATGATCATGATCATGATCATCATCATCATCATCATCATCACCATCCTCACCATCATCATCATCATCATCATCATCATCATCATTATCATCATCATCATCATCATCATCAACATTAATTACCGTCATCACCCACATTAAATAACATCATCGTCAACATTACAATACATTGTCCTCTTACTCCCCCCACACTGTGTGGGGTCTCTTGCCGGGATATTTTTTTTCAAGGGTTTCTTTGGGTTTGTTTTCTAGTTTTTTTTTTTTAACAGGGTTTCTTTAAGTTTTTTAAAGGGTTTCTGGAAGGTTTCTTTAGTTTTTTTTGGGTTTCTTTAGGTTTTTCATTATGGTTTCTTGGGGTATTCTTGAGGGTTTTTTTTCGGGTTTGTTCAGGGGTTGTTTAGGTTTTCTCTAGGGTTTCTTTAGTTCTTTTTGTTTTTTTTTCAGGGTTTCTTTGGGGGTTCTTTAGGTTTTATTAGGGTTTCTTTCGTTTTTTTGGGGTTTTATTAGGGCCGGTCCGGATGGTCGGGATGGTCGGGATGGTACAGACCGTCCCAATTTAGACTTCGATCCAACGACTTCGATCCAACGACCCCGTCCCAATTTAGACATCGTGGTTAAAAGATCATGGAATAATTACGTGGCTAAGAAAGCCTGCCAACATACACCAACACAAAGATTCTGATCCAACCAACGCCCCCCAATGTAGATATTCTCCATAATATATTCCTCATAATTCATAATATATAGCTCCATTTCTGGCTTGGCGATGCCCCATTTACCAATCCCGCCAATCCCCATCAACCAACCTTTCCATGCCAGGGATGCATCGCCACAAAGAAGCATTCCTGGCCTCGCTGGCAGGGCGCAAGGCCGAACGTGTGAACGCGGCTACGTTATATAAATATATTTATATGCTGTGACTAATGATCTAATGATATTTTATAGTACACATATATAAAGATGTACCATGGATCACATATGTATATATACATACACATTTGTAATATCATATCTAGTATGTAAATATTATATGGATATGCATCTACCCCCGCAATTGCATGGTTTTGAAGATTCAAAGCAACACTTGATGAAAACCTGTGGTTTGGGTATACTCTGTTATTAATGTGCTCATATTTGTGCTGTATGCCTCGGGACAGTCCCTTCAGCTGGAGAAGGTGTCCGGAAAGTGAAAATTGGTGCTGTCTGACATGCAGAAATTCGGAATCTCCTATCCAAAGATCTGAAGTTTTCACATCTTTGTACTGATTTCTCAAGGTTAGGGACACTGCACCACCCTCGCCAGCTCTGGTGGGTGGCGCCTCCCCATGAATCCGGCATGGCTGGGGGACGCCCCAGCTTTCCCTACAAGGACAGTCGAGAGGTCTGTGCTTCAGATCGAGAAAATCCAGGTTATGGATGGTTATGGTATCATCTTTTGGCGATAGGGGTTGATGTTGATGGCCATTCTTGGGATGATGATGTTTTGGCGCTTAAAATTTGACTTGGCTTGATGGTTGGTTTGAGTGACATGCTGATGCATTGGAGGAGCTGACACCTGAAGAGGGCGGTTGGCCCTGCTCTTGGCTTCTACAGGAGGAACTCACAGTTGTGTGTAACAAAGAGTGTCAGGACAACCACAAGAAATGGAAAAAAAACATGAGCAACTCGTAGGGATCGACTTGATGTGCACTTGAAAAACCAGTACAAAGACATGCGCTTAAATTTGAACGCAATCAACACATTTTGCGAATGATTTAGGCCGTTTGAAGGAAGCAAGAAGGCAGCAACCACAAGAAACATCATGGTTTTCACTACTCATTGGCCTAGCCTTTCTCACTGGCTCTATGAGTGTCGTTCTTCATGAACTCGTACTGATCCGGAAATTGCAAAAAATGGTTCGTCATTTCTTGGATCTCAAAACAAAAAAACGTGTGAGACGCCAATTGGGTCGCATTCAAATGAGTTTAACAGTATGGTGGTGACTTGGCATCAACAGTCTGGTGTGTTTCAACCATTCTGATGTCACCACATTTTCGAACACACACTCTAATTGCGGTACTGTTGAAAGCACATTCATAAACACATATTAACATATCCAAGAAGTGACATTTGATATGAACATATCCACATGTTAACGCATCCAGTTGTTATGTCATTTGGTGTTGGTTTCAAAACCAACATTTTCGTTGGATCTTTTGTCATATTCAATCATTTAATAGAATTCTTGCAGCATTCTGGTTTCAAATCAGCCAAGCCCTCCAGGACTTGGTGCCTCCAGGGGTCCTTCGCTGCGTGCAAGGGCCTGGTGAGGCAGTGGGTTGCGGCGGGACCGCGACTGCAAAAGTGGGTGAAATGAAAGGTGAAACCATGGGAATTGTTGAAAGAAACGGGGGATGGCCGCCAGGTTATGGCCATTTTTGGTATATTTTTGGTATAATGTGGTTAAAACAATGTCATAAACCATCCATGACTGGGAATGGTAAACATACCACCTATAAAAATGGTGATGACTGGGGGATGGTGCAGATGGCATTGTTGAATCCCCACATCTTCGCAGGTGATGCTGCTTCCAGCTGATTGGTGGCACATGACATGCTCGTGTCGTGGTGTCATTGGGGGTGGAAAGGGACTAGCATGGACTGGGGAGTTGAGCATCTGATGGGCATTTCACCAAGTACATGTAGAGAACAAACATCGGGATGAAACCAACACACGTGAGAATTTCAGCAACATGTGGATTTCATGAGCAGAAACTAAGGTTTTAGGATGAGGATTTAAACATCAAAAAGGGGAATCCATGGCAAACATCAACCCACTTGAGGGGTTCACAGGTTGAACGTCGGGGTTTCACCATGGCAACTTAACGCAGCTGAGTCGTTGCGCCGCATCTGAGGCTGGACGAGTTCAACATTGCGGTGGGTGGGCAAGAGGCAGGAGTTTGCTGATGTCCAAGGGGTGGAGTATGGTATAGCCTTTTTCTTGCTCAAAAATGATCAACCCCAACATGGATGGTTGAGTAAAAATGATGTATTTGTAAGTCCGTTGCTACCCCATTTTGAAGGCCACAAGCAACTGGTGTGGTGGCTCAAAGAAAGAGTACTAATATGTACCAATGGTTGGTCATTTGAGTCTCAACCCATCAAATTTTCTTGGAGGTAAGCCGGTTTTTAGCGTCATAAAATGACTCTAAAATCTTCGTTCACATCGTTTTCTGACGGATGATTTTGATATCTTTGGGGAATTCTATCGAAGTTTCGGCCGCCCCAGTCTTCCCATGGCAGGCTTGATGGGAATCAGCACCGGTGAGGTCCGCTGGGACGAGCTTCAAATATAGATCATCTGATGATCATCTTATATAAATTTATATAAACATATTGAAATACACAAGAAACCCTGGTTTAGCGATGTGATTGGATGTGTACATTTTTGATGCTCACATGGGGGTAGTATTGGGGAAACTAGTTTTTAGGTGTAGCCATGTGTAGCCTGAGACATATCTGATGCGTCACTCAAGGCCCTTCATGACAAATGTCAGATCTGCGGGGCAAACTGCTGGTGATTGTTTTTTTTTTTTTTAAATGATGTCCGTTCTATTTTTGAATGGTACCCCCAGTTATATATATATATCTGTATGATTATATATATATATACATATACATATACATATATACATATATACATATATACATATATACATATATACATATATACATATATACATATATACATATATTATTATTATTATTATTATTATAATATATATATATATATGTACATATAATAATTTTAACAATAATAATACCATGGGCAAGCATTGCAGGACTTTCCCTGACATTTTGAGCAAGGAAAAAACAATAAACATGAATCAACTCCATAGTTTCCCCCAGATTTTCCGACCAACTCCAGGCTCTGTGAGCCATGTCCTCTCGATGAATGAAGCGGTTGCCAGCTGGAGGTGGCCCATGCGGATTTCGTGGTGATATGAACTAGGAAAGATCGGCAAATCAGGCTGAAATGATGGCTTGATATTTTTTGGTTCCAGATTTCTCCAGGATCATTGTATCGATCATTGTATCCGATGAGAATTCCTACCCAAGAAGTAGAATCCACTGGTTCCGGAATCAAATTGGATGGGAAAATCAGCCAATTCCATTAAGAACTGGGTAGTACCTAGCTCTATTCATGCAGAGGACCATGTCACCTAGTAAATGGTGCAGGTATACAACCATGCTGAGGGTTCAGCAGCTTTTCATTTGATATGCGCATCGCCCGGGTTAAATCAAATTGGCTCACGGTCATCCCAATGTGGTTTGAATCTGAATGGCAGGCTTGTCTCTCAGATTTTTCCCCAACAGCGTAAGCTAATGGGGTCTTCAGCCCAGAATAGTTCCGGTGTGCACTGGTGCAGGCGCCGGGTCAGGTTCAACGAGGTTCCGGAGAAGGTTCGGAAGGTTCCGGAAAAGGTCTGGGAGGCTTCGGTGCAGAGCCAGGTCAGGTTCAACGAGGTTCCGGAGAAGGTGCCGGTCAAGGTCTAGGAGGCTTCGGTGCAGAGCCAGGTCAGGTTCAACAGGGTTCCGGAGAAGGTTCCGGAGAAGGTTCCGGAGAAGGTTCCAGAGAAGGTCTGGGAGGCTTTGGTGCAGAGCCAGGTCAAGTTCAACAGGGTTCCGGAGAAGGTTCCGGAGAAGGTACCAGGAAGCTTTGGTGCAGAGCCAGGTCAGGTTCAACAGGGTTCCAGAGAAGGTCCGGAGAAAAGTTCCGGAGAAGGTGTGGGAGGCTTTGGTGCAGAGCCAGGTCAGGTTCAACAGGGTTCCGGAGAAGGTCTGGGAGGCTTTGGTGCAGAGCCAGGTCAGGTTCAACAGGATTTGCGGCCATCTAACTGACGGAAACTTAGCTGAGGTGTTTCCAGCGCTTGGCTTCGCAGCACGCTTCAGAAAGATTTGTAAGAATAAAACGTTGCGGCTGTTGGGGATACCACCGAAGCTTATTTAAAACCGGAAGAGATGAAAGGAATCTCTATGAATCTCTCGTACTTGCTGATAAAATCAGAGCTTCCTGTCGAGTTTTCCCCTAAATCCTTCAAACAAAAATCATCAAATCATCCCTGTGATGTTCGTAAATCATGTGGACGGCTTTTCCCAACGCCCAGCTCATGGGCAGCTCCTTTTTGCGTCGTAGGCGTGTTTTGCGCTCGGAGCCGGCTGACGGGATGAGTCGAGAGGAGCGCACTTCCGGTGAAAAACTGCGAAGTGCCAGAATTGCGTTCGTCAATCACTTTTTGACACGCTGAATGACTTTTAAGTGGATTTGGTGCACCATTTCGTGTTACGCATGAAGTGCTGCTTTGTTTGTGTTTTTTCTGATTCTGGCTCGAGTGGGTGGACGGCGCACATGGAAACATGTGCGTTTGATCCGAACCACATCTGAAGTATTTCCGGTCTGCGCCTTGGTCCGAGCTGCTCCAAATGTGGGGCTTGCGAATTATTGGGATCAAAATTGGGGTACCATTTTTTTCCCACAAAATTGGTGAATTGTTGAATTCAACAGTCCACTTTGTGGGGTACTTGCAACCCACCAACTTCACGAAGTGGTCCGCAAAGGAAACCATCTCAAAGTTGCCTTAGAGGCAAATCACGCGAACTTCCATGAATTGTCCGTTGCAAAAAACCTAGTTTACCATGCCGCGGCCACATGACGTGGGCGGGCCGCTGTCTGCGAACGAACCCAGGTTGCTACACAGCTCTCGTGTGGCGACACTGTCACGAAATTCGTGGCCAATAATGTGGGGCCGACGTGTATATTTGTTCTCCCGCATCGAAGGGCACGGTTGTTATGGTTGAGGCGGCTGTCCTTTTCAGTCCTATTAGGGAGACCAACCCGTAGAAGTATCATATTCCAATTTTTGGACAGACGTACGTATATGTATCAGACTGATATACAATGATACAATGATTGATGTAGACATTGACATATACATATTTATCTGTACACAATGAATACACATGAATATGAAGACCCACGCAGTGAGTTGTTGGTTATCTACCCATTGTTGATGGTTTGAAAGTTTCAAGTGTAGTAACTTCACTCTTAATTAATCAGGAATGCATCAAGAATTCTTCTATCAACCCTTTCTCTCATCAACCCGTTGAGTTTTGGTGCGGCTCGGCTTGGTGATTCCATGGCAAGTCCCGAAACTGAAAGACAGCCACAAACTATGACCACTCAAAAAGCAAAATAGATGGCTGGGATTCAAAGGATGCCAAACAATTTTTCTGTAGTTTGTGTGTTTTGTAAAACATGTCATTGGATTTACCACAGAAAACCCATTATCTGATCCACACAGCTGGTAGTCAAACTGGACAAGTCACCAATTTTGTCAATTTCCTTCAGACTTCGATAATTTTCCAGCAAACTAAAGTACTATAAAGTACTAAAGCTCCGTTAATGTCAATGAAATCATGAAGTTTGCTGATCTTCCCATCATCTTCCCCTAGATTTTTTTCCCAACGAAACCCAATGAGCCAGGAAGCTTCACGTCCTCCTCCTGGTGCCGATCCTGGCCTTTAAAGGTGCCCGATGGGACAAATGATGGGGAAATTGGGGCAAAGCCTCGTTGAATATGGCATTTTTATACATTTTTCATATATGTTCACAGGGAAAATCTGATGGCAACTTGATAAAATGGAGTGGATTAGACTCTGAGCCTTGAAATGGATTAGTTGTATGTATGTATGTAATGTAATGTAATGTATTGTAATGTAATGTAATGTAATGTATTGTAATGTAATGCAATGTAATGTAATGTAATGTAATGTATTGTAATGTAATGTAATGTAATGTATTGTAATGCAATGTAATGTAATGTATTGTAATGTAATGTAATGTAATGTAATGTAATGTAATGTATTGTAATGTAATGTAATGTAATGTAATGTATGTATGTATGTATGTATGTACATATATATATGGTTCCGTGTCCCGTGTTCCCACCCCCCTCCCATGGGATGGGGGGGGGTATGATACCCCCTGTGGATGTATGATGATGTAGGTATGTATGTATGTATGTATGTATGTATGCATACTGTAGATACCCATCTGTACATGCTGCATTCAAATCATCATACTCGCTTTGATGATATCATGTCTGCAATGACACGGACATCTACGGTCAAACTGCTTTTTTTTCATCCTTGCTTCGAGTGGATGCGCCTTGGCACCAACAAGTCATAGTGACAACCAGTGCGTAGCACGTGGCACTGGCCCGTGGCCCATGGCGGGTCCTCTGACCAAATCGGCTTGACCTTCTTGTTATCTTCAATGTAGACGAACACAGCCAACTTCGAACTCTCAACAAACCGACCGACGCTCCACATGGTCGCAAACGAATGTGGTTTCGACATGAACTCCCAATACCTTTCCCAGGTGAAAGGTTTCGAAGAATCCCAAGCAGTCTCTTGTTCCAGTTCCACTTGTAAGCAAGTGGCCGCCATATTGGCCGCATCGGCCGTGCAGCCCTGCACGTAGAGCTTGCTGAATTTCACGAGGTCTTCTCGGAGGGCTGCAGCTCGGGCATCGTTGTCCTCGAGCGCATGCACTTTCACGCCAGCTTGCAATTGCAGGGCCATCGCGAAACTGCGATAGAGGCACCCTCCATCGCCACGGGTCCGAAGGACAAAGAAGCGACCCAAGGTTTCCAAAGTTTTCAATGCGGCTTTGGCATTGGGCGACGGCAAGCCTTCATTGTCTCCAGTGCATTGTCCAGGCTGCACGACACGCGGCATGATCCGCAACAAGGATTCATGTCGTGTGATCATTGTTCCCGTGGTGATCTCCTGCAAAGTGGCAATGCCGCCGCTGAAGCTGACCACACTGTATTGACGCAGGCCATCAGAAGAAGTTTCAAATTTTCCAAATCCAGCTGTGCTCTTGTATTGCGTTGACTTGCAAAGTACAATGTCACCGGTCACCAGAGGTGCTTGCTTCAGCTCTTGTCGCTTTTGCCTGTTGACCTTCTTCGCTAAAGCAGCACGTTCTTGGGCCGAGTGGAAAAGCTTCTGCAATTGTGTGACATCATCCCCAAATTTCTCTGCAGCTTTCTGGTACAAGTCAGTATCGGCAGCCGCATGTTCATCTAGTAGCTCCAACCACTCCGCATCCGTTAGCGGATCAGCAGTCGTGCCAGCAACAGCTTCAATGGTTTTGCTGCGCCATTGAGACTCAAGTGGCCTCAGCGCCCGCCACAAGGTTTCTGGTGCAAGGCCATGTGGGCGTCTGGGCAAACTGTTGTACGCTGAGACAGCACCGAGCAAGCGTTGACGGTCACCTCCGTGACTCCCGTCCAACACTCTATTGTACCTGAGCGGGCCAGGTGGACCACGTCTGTAAGTCAGTCCTGGTACTGGTTGTTGTTTTGTTGGTGTCTCTTCACATTCCTGGGGTTGCTGTATATCATATTAAGCATATGAACACTGTACACAAGGGAAATGGAATCATCATTTGCATATATCGAATGCCGTGGATCTATCATACCGGAGTGGTAACTATATATGGTCACCGACAGAATTATGGAAAAAATAAAACGTTTCAATTTACAGGCGCCGCCTGTCTATGATAGAAAAGTTACGAACCTTGTTTTTTCCATAATTATTGTTTCCATAATTATTTTTTTTTTCCATAATTCTGTCGGTGACTGTATGTCCATCGATTCGCAATTTGAATGCATTTTAAGGGGGAATATTGAATTATAGAAAATATGTGTCTAAAGATCTGGTATATGCCCCTAAGTCTTCCCTTGATATACATAATATCATGTGATGTTCGCAATTTGAATGCATTTTAAGGGGGAATACTGAATTATAGAAAATATGTGTCTAAAGATCTGGTATATGCCCCTAAAGCCTGCCATTGATATACATAATATCTGGATGTTTCCCTTTGCCAAGCCACCACTTGGTTGATACTACATACTTGCATTTGCATACATATTTCCATAACCCCAAAAAAAAACGGGTTTGAATTGTGGATCCATGACATGTCCAACAGGTGGAGCCCCAAACATTAATTATGGAAAAAATAATTATGGAAAAACCGGTCAATCTGGCCTAGCCCCCTGATTTCACAGGAAAAATCAATTATGGAAATAATGGCCACCTCCAAAAATTATGGAAAAAAAAGGTTCGGATCACTTCCGGGATATTTTAAACCCTTATGGGGAAAAATTCAATTATGGAAAAATCGGACGCAGGCGCCGCCTGTCTAAGTTGTCCTTTTTTTTTCCCATAATTCTGTCGGTGACTGTACGCTGGAACTATGTATGTATGTATGAATGTATGTATGTATGTATGTCTGTGTATGTATATGTATATGTATATGTATATGTATATGTATATGTGATGAATATGAATACAGTGCATCATAGATAGGAGTATATCATAGTGTCAAGTATAGAACATCACCTCAACAAGGGTCTTGGAGGTGTGACGCCCTCTGCCTAGTCCAAGCTGCGCCTCGACGAGGCCATTGGACTGCGGTCGCCCCGCAGGAATATACTTGGGCACTATTCCAAGGGTGAGTCGGATCGCTTCAGCAACGACCCCCCGGAACTGCGATCCGTTGTCTGACCAACAAATTTTGGGTATGTCGACATGATGATAATGCTGCAGCAGCAACGTTTGGACTTCCTTGAGGCCCTTCCTCAGGTGTTTGGCAAGGGAAGAAAAGTCAAAAGTTAAAAGGCTGAGTCACTGATTCTTGAGGTAGTGAAGAAACCCATGGATCTGTTTCCTATCCGAGTGGAAGGTCAAGCAACGTGCCGTGTGTGACACCTAAACCGCCGAAAGTAGAAATCAATAAGTGATCAAGGCAGTACCGAGAGTCGCATCATCATCGAGAGCATGGGCCCAGAGGCGGTTGCTTGCAAAATCGAGAAGCAGTAGCATTGTCCAAGGTTCCGAAGAAGAAGGCGTTACCTTCTTGAGGTCGACACCGAGGATTTCACCAGATGCTAATGGCCGTGGAAGCCTCCTCACATCCGGCACGTTGACTCCTCGGGTGGAATTGGCGAGGCAGAAGCCACAACGTCGAAGCACGAAAGCTGCGTCGAGTTCCATGTTGTTCCATGTCTGCTCGGCCTCACGCAAGACCTTGATGACACCTTCTCGGCCCCCCAAGTGCTGCAGGGATTCATGCGCTGTCACGATTTTGTTGATTTTCTCCTGGACAGAGATGCCAGAAGTGTCAGCTTTGATGTCCTTCATCCACCAATTGGCTCTTTTGCCCACTGCATGCATTGCCTGAGCCGTCTTCTTGTCGATGCCTGAAGCTGGGAGTGGTGCAACTGAATCTGTTAAAGATGCATTTAGCTGGACTTTTGCAAACATCAACTAATTTGATAGCGTGGTATGTCTGTTTATACAATTTACATGTAGTATATTTATATAAATATGTAGTATATATATATATACATGTAGTATATAAGAAAAGTCAAGGTGCTGGGCAGTGAAGTCAAAGGCACGTGCAGCAACCAACGAAGTGCTTCTGCGACATCCTGTGTCTCCCAACATTCAACGCCAGCGGTTTCGCTAGTTCCAGCGTCTTTCGAGCGTTTGCCACCATGCTCCTGGGCAAAGTCAAGCTTCCGTTTCCGCATGTTCGTCTCACAGCACTCTTTGCAAGTTGAGCCAACCTTGCCAGTGTACTCCCACTGAGTTTTGCTGAACGCATCCTTCGCCTTCTTCACCTTGCATTGCTGGCACTGCTTGGTATGCTGCTTCTGGGAAATCTGTTGTTTCGCAACACACAATTTACACTTGGACTTTGACCCGCGCTCCCACTGAGTATCTGTGAAAGAATCACGGGGAAGCTCTTTCAAGCACTCCACGCAGCTTTTGGTGGACTTCACACGTTTCAAGAAACGATCATCCACTGGGCGGCATTCTTTGCACACTGGAGTCTTGGAAAGAAACTGCCGTTCTGTGAAGAGCGCCCTGCGAAGGTCTTTCTTGCATTCAACACACTGTTTTGTAGTGCTTGCAACTTGTGGGAACCTGGCATCCAAGGCTGCCTCAATCAGCTGCTGAACATCGTCCTGGCAACCGGACGGTACCCATGCAATATAGGCTATGCGCAGTGGAAATTGATTAGAAACACGAACGACAATGATATCGATTTTGTTTCATCGGACGGTACTCCTTCCGAACATATTCTCCCGCTTGTTGGGCAGATGCAGAGTGAGAGACAGGTTGCTCGGGCACAGAGCTGGCGGACGCTGGAGCAGCAACAGCCGGAGGACTGCCGTCTCGCGGAGGCTCAGCTTCGCATGATGCTGCGCCTCGTGACAGCAAGTGCAAGTGTTAGACAAGGCACTGTATGCTCATGGAATGTCCAAATTCGTGAATAAAGGTAAAGCCAAGAAGTCTACAGCTCCGGTAGGAACCAGTTGATACTTATGGAATATGCCGATAGCCTGCATTCAAGCAATGCCAAGTGCATGGCAACAACATGTCAAACATGTTAAAATACTTCGAACAACAATGGATGTAGGAGTCAAAGAAAACCAGTCTCAACTGCACCGTGAATGTAAGAGTTCGCATGTTCGTTACGAGTTCCAAAACCCCGGCTCCTATGTATATTTATACCATATGTATACATGTATCTATGTCTATATGCACGTATATGTAAATACAAATATATCTGTCAATGTACATATTCATATCTATATATATATACCTATATAGATATATATATATATGTATATAGATATATATTTTTGAATATATGCGTATATATATATCACTATATGTATATGTATATACATATATTTGTATAGGTGTATGTAGGTGCTATATATGTAAGGTAAATAAAGTTATGCATATATACATCTATATATACATATATATATATGAATAGAAATAAAGAAATAAATAGATCAATAATACATATATATATATATATATGTATATATTCCCCTAGCGGGCTGGGGACATCGACCACGCAGGCAGCCCCAGAAAGCCAGAAAGGAGAAAGAGGAGAAGGGAGGAAGGGCAAGAAAGCGGGGTGGGGACGTGGCAGTGTCGCACGCACCCACTGCCATGGGCCACCAACCCAGGCAGGGACGTGGAGCACCGCACACGCACCCCCAGGAAAGGGGGAGGAAGAGGAGAAGGGGGGAAGGGCAAGAAAGCGGGGTGGGGACGTGGCAGTGTCGCACGCACCCACTGCCATGGGCCACCAACCCAGGCAGGGACGTGGAGCACCGCACACGCACCCCCAGGAAGGGGGGAGAAGGTGAGGGGGAACAAGGGAGGAAGAAAAGCCTAGACCCCCAAGTTATTTATGTATAGCACCAACGGAACATCCCAATATCAGTGAGTAGTAATGATGCTGTATCTCTGCATTGGTCCATGTATCAAAGGTTCCACTGGAGTACGACCTGGCTACCCATACGTGCCTTGGCAATGCTTCTTCGCCTTTTCCAAGGTCAGTGTTTCATAGTAGTGTTGATGCTGACGTGTTGCCTGCCAGCGGCCTCGCATATATTCCCGCGCTTCTTCCATGGTAGCTTGGGGATGTTGTTCCCAAAAGGTACAAACACTTTGCCAATCCTGACCCGATCGATCAAGCAGCTTCTCTCCAGACGGGACCTTTGGAGCAGCTACCTTGGGAACTACTTTGTCAGCCTGAATCCTGAAGACCGGCTTGGGCACCATCTGAAGGAAAATCGACTCATTCAAGTGATCCAAGGATTTATACAGCACTTGCACCACGTGATTCTTTCCAGGCTTGGCATTTTCTGAGCCGGGCATGCGACCTTGTTGATTCATAGAACATGCTCTGGCATCAGCTTGCAATGCCTGCGTCAGTTGCTGCTGCACCCAGAACGCAGTTTTGGCTGACAGCGTGTGGTCGATGAGGATCCACGCTTGAAAGTTTCCAGCAGACGTGGTAGTGACACACCGTGGCCTGACTGCCAGCAAGTCTTCCCACCGTCCCTTGTAGCCGTCTAAATCCAAGAAGACTAGATTGCCTAGCAAAGGCCGCACAAACAAATGGCATCTATTGAGTTGCAGCCATTGTGGTAACGCTGCCAGCAGCGCTGCCCGACCAATCGACTGTCTATTGAAAAGGCATTGGCTCTTGTCAGCGCTGAGTGCTGTCACATGCCAAGCAGCACACTCAGGGAATGCATTTATGAATTCGACCGCTTGGTCCATCGCGGCTATGCCGCAAAATCAGCTGTTTCTGTGAATAAAGGAAAAAGGCAAAGCACATTTGTGGAGTCTCAAGTCTGATCAAATTAGACTGCACCGTCTGTTGTCACCAAGAATGTTTAAGTAGAAACTGGCAAAATCAGCCCTCGTGATAAGTCCCTAGTAGGTTGTTCCGTAGCAGTCTATAGAGACTGCCTCTCTGAACCTATGAACTACTCGCTCAAAAACCTGGTTTAGGCAGTTTACAAACGTCAAACATCTACCACTTCAGCGGCATCAATCTGCTGGGATATAAAATCATATCTAGATGCTTTAGCTAGTGCAGCGTTGGGTAGGGAGAAACCATCCAATAGAGGAAGACACGTACATATCTTATATGGATACATACATACATACATACATACATGTATGTATACATTACATTACATTACATTACAATACAATACATTACATTACATTACAATACAATACATTACATTACATTACATTACATACATTACATTACATTACATTACATTACATACCATACCATACCATACCATAACATACCATACCATACCATACCATACCATACCATACCATACCATACCATACCATACCATACCATACCATACCATACCATACATACATACATAGATACATACATACATCTATATATACATACATACATACATACATACATACATTATATACATACATTATATACATACATTATATACATACATTATATACATACATACATACATACATACTTACATACATACTTACTTTCTTACTTACATACATACATACATAGAAAGATAGATACATACCACCAGCACAGGCCACAGGGGGGGGGGGTGACCAGAAGGGATACATAGATACAATACATACATACATACATAAATACATACATACATAGATACATACATACATCTATACATACATACATACATACATACATCTATACATACATACATACATACATACATAGAAAGATAGATAGATAGAAAGATAGATACATACCACCAGCACAGTCCACAGGGGGGGGGACCACCACAGGCCACAGGGGGGGGGGGCAGATAGAAAGATAGATACATACCACCAGCACAGTCCACAGGGGGGGGACCACAGGCCACAGGGGGGGGGGACCAGAAGAACCAGAGGATACTGTAGACCCATACCCATTGGTGGAAGGGGGGGGGGTGGTGGCCAACGCTGCACCATATATACATACAGTATATATATATACATACACATTAGTTCGAACATTTGAGCGAAAACCATGGAAAAGCCGAGAATCAAATAGTTGAGAGAATCAGTCTAACTTATTTCATAGTCATTTGTGGCATCCGTGAATGCTCCTATTTTCGGACAGACCCCGGGATACCCCAATTTCTGGCAATTTTCACCCTGAACAACATGAGAATCACCCGTCCAAATTGCAGTTTCAGTGGGGAAGATGAATCCAGAGAATCGCATGCATTCAGGTGGTAGACATCATGTGGGAGATTACACCATTGTGCACGGCTCAGTGACACTGCGCCAATTCTGGGGTTGCCATCCCGCTGTCCAGATGACCCCCTGCAGGGTGTCAGTTGGGGGATGGTGGAATGCCTGGCATATCATGCAATTTGAGGATGCTGCAACCCCTGCAGGTACCCCCAACCGGTGGTCCTCAACATGGGTACGTCTGAAAATGGGGTTCCCGGGGCCCGAATCAAGATGGGGCACCCCATGTTTCCCACACAAGATGTGGACCAGCAAACAGGGATTCTCATGACGGAGACCAGCATGACATACCCGAAAAGATCTTTCGTATACTTGTTACTCAGATAGACCCTGAGATGTTTGTTGGTGTGACTCATCTTTCTCCCCCTGTGGATCTCAATCAATTTGTTGGTTGCACTTTGGATCAAAACCTAGGTACTGTACCCAGTGGTTCACATTCAACCAGCTTGCAGTTCTGGATGTTTATCCTGTTCATTTGAGAAGATTGATTCTGGAGTTTTGACCCATCCCCATTTACCAAATCAGAAAAAATCCCATCTTGTTTGGCTGGTGATGCCCCAATTGCTGGTGAAATTATTCTCCACCCAGGAGCCTAGAACTGTCGGGACCTTGCTTGACGTGACGCGGCCGGGAACCGAGTTATGAGCCATGGTGAGCAGATCTGCCCAGCAATGGGGTCGCAGGTGAATGGTGGCTGTGGATTGTGGCTGCAAAAACAGAGATTCGAGCTACAAGTGCTGGTAGTGCTGGTTTCTTGATTGTGATGATTTTGTGATTTTGTGTAGATGGTCCAATGGTATGTTCCTACTTCGTGACGATATGACATTTCCATCATTTTCCATCTATCAATGGATTGGTTTAAGGGAAAATCTACAGGAAACCATAGATTTTCCCATTAAATATGGGGTTTTCCTGTAAATTTTCCCTTAAACCAATCCATTGAATCTATTCCTATCTTACATTTGGCCAAACCGGAGGAGGACCATGGAATCCGTGCCTCAAATGACGGATCGACCTGAGGTCGAAGGAAGGACAGCGCCACAAGGCGGGGTGGCCCAGGAAGGCGGGTCATTTTGTCTTGCGAGGTATAGAATTATATACCCTCTGGTAATGGCTGACATAGCTATTGAAAATGGCCATTTATAGTGAGTTTTCCCATTAAAAATGGTGATTTCCATACTTATGTTAGTTTACCAGAGGGTAACAGATTTAACATCAATTAAGATCAATTAAGCTTAAACGGCTTAGACACTCCCATTCTATGGGTACTAAATGAAATTTCCCTATACATACAGTATGTTACATACATATCATACATATAGTTTCCGGGTGTTTAAAATTGGGCGGGAAGGGATGATTTTCTAATCTATGGGAATATATGATATAGTCATCCATGCTTGGATATCCTAGTTTTGTCCATGCTCATTTGAACTATTCTCCCGGCATAGGTGGTTCATATCAGTTTGGACAAGAACAAATGCCTCCGTGTCAGAGGGTCCCGCTACATCGTACCATTACGTGGCAGATTCAGCAATGCGGTCAGTGTAGTTGGTGCATGTATCTGTCTCACATCCACTGACCCACCGACAAATTTTGCATTGTCCATGGGAACCCCATTTCGGCCAGCTGATATCCTGCTGGAAGATAGTACCATATCCAGAAAAACTGCAGATTGGCGGAGAATTCCATGACGACCGAATGAATGAGATGCAGCAGATCAAAGAGGTTGGATGGAACTGGGGGGTCGAAGGGTGGGGAGGTCGGGGAAGGTTGTCCCAAAATTGTAGGGCTGGAGGGTTCGGAGATTTTGGGCATCTGAAAGTTGGGCATTGGAAGTGGCCAGGATCATCCGGTACGGCGAAGTTGCAGCCAGAAAAATGGACGAACCCCCTCATCTTCACTACCACCTATGTGACTCGATGTGGGTTTGTCTGAATAAAAGATAATCGTCATAGGAAAGACGAGGTTCTAAGCAATGGCTTTTTGTCAAAGCGTCCTATGACTTGAGACAGACCCATGTCCCATTCGACTTCGGCGAGGCTTTGCTTGCGATGCTGCCGGAAAAGTCACCTTCGTTTGGAGGAGAGGACTTCAAGTTCTACATTGAAACAGTCGCTTGGAGACGGAGGGGAGTTTCAGCTGCCTTGCGGTGCGGTTGCGTGTTTCGAGAGAAACATTTCCATCATTTTGATGGTTGAATGTTGAAGTGTCTGGATGCGCGAGAAAGGGATAGATAGATATTGAAGGTAGGTACTTGTTATCAGTGTGATGCAATTTGGTACGTATTTGGCATCAAGATGTAGTTGATTTGGCCCTATAACATGTTTTTCGACAAGCCCACATGCACTTTGCGAAATTCCGGGACAGCTCATCCTATGATGCGTTTGCACGCAAGTCAAAATGGAATCCGAAATCCAACTACTGTAAATGAAGTGGCTGCGTTCTACCCTGGTTGGTTGATGATGGGGATTATACTAACCAATGTGTTGGGGAATATCTAAACTAACCAGTATAAACAGACGACGCAGGGTTTGTAAACATGAAGTCATTTTTTAGGGTTGGTAATCCTGCAGCGCTGCTCCCATGTTGAGACGCATCTGTTGCTAACTCTCAAGTCAGAAAGCCAATTTTGCAGCAAACAAATCATACCTCTAGGCTGAACGGTTCGTAGTTCACAGAAGAAAATATGTGGGCCCGCCCTGACCTGAAGTTCGCAGTTATACCCGTACCCAATTCAGTCTATGTCTCAGTTTTTACTGATTACATCAATTTTCGGGGGTTTAGTCCCCTAAATCACAAGGCGAACTCTGCGTGCGTTCACCACCGCTACGATGTTGGTGGGATGTTGGTGGTTTATTTGTGAGGTGATGCACATGGTAAACGTCACCATGCGTGCGTCGCTCGATGAGCAATTCCAGGCTGACAAGGCAGGACCTGAGCGAATTATGAGTAAAGTAAAACTTAACCCCATAAGTTTTTATAATAATATTATTATAAAAAATATGTTATTATTCTTTTCTATTTACTATTCTAGGATTGGGTAATCCCATCATATTCCCCCATAACTTTTATCATAATATATATGATAAAAATTATGATGAACAAAATGTGATAAGTGCATAATATCAAGAATATAAAAAAAATATGAAGAATATTATGTGGAAATTTATGTGAAATAGTTGATTGTTATGGTTGGGGGGTATTTTAAAAGATGGGATTCCCCATTTCTAGCTATATATATATACGGTATATTACGTATAATTTAATGTAATATTTAATATATATAATATATAATAGTTATTATTATATTATATTTATTATGTCATATTATATTATATCATATCATATCATATTATATTATATTATATTATATTATATTATTATATGATATGATATGATATTATATCATATTATATTATATAATATTATAATATTATATTATGTTATATATAATATATATATAATATAGTATACACACATATATATATATATATGTATATGAATATGCACACACACATATATATATATATATATCAAGAACCCCTTATTTCTATTGAGTTTCGACGTTCGTCTCCGAACCACAGTTGGCAAACCAGATGTTATCCAAGAGATGCCGGAGGTGGTATCTCACCACCAGCTGACCACAGCACGTTCGGTTCCCCCATCTTCCTTAAGACTTCCAGACATATTGAACAGACGGTATTTGGATGTACTGTATTTGGGTACTGGGCGCCTCAGTTTTAAGACATGGTCCAAGAAAAGACATCTCCAACATCTTTTCGAACGTTCCCTCTGTTTTGGGCCACTTTTCAGGCCTTGGCAGCCAATGCCTTTGGCCACTTCGAGACCTGCAAGAAGATTCTGGTCACAGGTCGCGTTTCGGTGATCGTTGCTGCTACTAAGTTCGACGTCCCTGAAAGGAACAAACCGGGGTGAAATGACCTGGGTCATGACTGCAATGCAGTGTTGCAAACTTCGAAATGCGAACCACTCAGAAATCGGTAAAACTCCATGGTAGATGCTCGATGTGGAGGCTGTTAAACTTCAACGATCCCGCCGGTGGTTGATGCCGAACCACAAATGTGAGGAGTTCATTGCGCATAGCTTTTGGTTATTCATAGCAGATACTTTTTTTTCCCCCCCCGAAACGCATTTGCATTTTTCAGATGTCGGATGTTTTTTTCCCTCCCCCGGTTGTTTTTTTCATTCTTTTTACCCTTCGCTTCGTTTTTTTCTCCTGCTTTGGGCAAAACAACCTAAGGTACGCACGTTCTAATGGTGCCATGTTCCCATTTCCAATGGTTTCCCCATTCCTCCGTGATGTGGCCAGGCCTTTCGTGGCCCAACGCTGTTTGGAACCCGGAATTCGCAGGTGGTTTTCGAACGTGCGATTTATGCCACTGGAAACGTCAACAGGTCCAAACCGGTTGTTGATTTGAATCTTTTCCTGCACAAATTGGGGATTTTGTCTGGGCAAATTATAGTGACCTCACTGTGACCTCACTGGAATCATGGTTGGGAGAAACTATCCCCAACATGGGCCTTATTTCAGTGAAATATTATAATTTACCGCACCCAGATTTGTGGACTGATGTCACCAAGTACTGGGCAATGAGGAAAGATGTGGCGACCTGAACCTCCTCATGTGAAAATACGAAGAAGGACCAAACAATTTATGGGTCAATTGGTACTCCATGTAATCCTCATGAAACCCACACAGAACACCAAGAATGGGGGTTGGAAACTGATTTTCCCCAGAGAGAACGATTTTTATGTTCCATGTGAGTTTTCAGGGGTGTATTTCATCAAGAGAAGATTGGGACTTGGCCATCAAACATACCAGGATCTTATTCGGATACTATTGCTATCACAGATATGTAACTAACGACAGGGAAAATCGCGGGATATACGATCGAAACATATCGAAACTATCTCATATGAGCTATGGTCAATGCATGGTTAATAACCATTAATAGGGGCTAGTCATCCAATGGTTCATAGGGATTTATAATAACCATTATAAGGATCCTTATTATGGATGGGATGACCATCAACCATATAGTGAGTATTGACCATGGCTCATATGTGCCATGGTGAAGTTTTGATTTAAGCTTGGATAAATTGCCAAGTTTTGGGGGGAATCAATCCATTGCTAGGGAATAAAATGCCACATGAATCCTGAGTAACTTGACCATTGCACATACAAAGTTGGTTGCATTTCCCTCTCCTATATCAGTTGGTTAAACCATGTTAAAACCATTCTTGTTCACAAAAATGGGATTAAAGATGATTAAAGATGATTAAAGATCGTATATCCATGTATATCCCTTAGTTTGGTTGGTTAAATCCCGGTATTTTTTTCTTTAGAGAAGCCGGCTACCCGGCTACTTTCGTGAATCCACACACGTTTCGAAAACGCCGAGATCTTGGAGGGTGGCAGTCACGGGGATGAGACCTATAGAGCCTTGGCGTCAGCGCTTTTTCGCGCTGACCGTCCTGGAAAAAGGGGAAGAAAAATGGCTGGGAAAAAAGGTGGGTAGAATCTACCAGAATTTTTAGAGAAGAATCTGGAGATTGGGAAACTTTTCGATTTAAGTGTTGATCACATTGATCACTTCATGAAGTTTTTTTCACCACCATTTTCGCTGATACTTTGTTTTTTTTCCCTGCAAAAAGAAGGGATGGGTATGACTTCTTTTGGTGCATTGAATGGTTACTGTAGATACTTGGCCGGGATGCTGTCCTATTTACCACCAGCCAAGCATTGGACATGCGGTTTTTTTTCGGCGTTGAGGGATTGAGATGGGATTCCTTGGACCAAAGGGCGATTTGTCGGAATGGTCTGGTGAGGGGTCCAACATGTCACCAGAAGGCGATGTACTAAAAACCCACTGATGAAATTTCTGCAAAGTTGGGCAAGACAATTTCATCAGGTTTCCCGATTTCCAATCATTCCAGTAATTTACAGGAACGCCCGAAGTTGTTTGCCCGGATCGTGGCAAAGACTATGGGGGTTCTAGAACCTTCCAACAAATTCTGTATTCCCAAATCATGGTTTGTTTTATGCAATGTTTGGAACCTTCTGTAGGTTAATGGTTCCATGATATGTCATGCTTCAGGTTAACCATGAAATAGTATCCTTAATGTTAGTCCTGGTTAAACTATCCATAGTAATGAATGGTAAGCTACTATAGTTAAACTACATGATATGTCAACCATGAAACGAGAACTACAGTCATGTAGATTGACTCATTTATAATAAACTCACCTTCTTGTTTTCAATGGTTGAAGCTTCATATATTTCCAAAAATCCCATGCGAACTTTTTGGCATCCCATGCGTCCAAGGTGGCCTCTGGGTCTACCAAAAGGCACACAAGGTCTGCCGCGATGTCCAGGTGGGATCCGGTGGTATGAGCCATGGGTCATGACGACTTTGTCTGGTCAATGATCATTTTCCTCATTCAAGTGGTCATGAATGGAGGTTGAAGCCCATTTTCATCCATTTTCAGTACTGTACACACGCAGAAAAAACCGTGCCAGAATCAAAAGAAGAAGATCTACGATGACTGCGTAGATGAGGAAAAGCGTGTTGAGGAGATTGCGGGGGATGCAGGGTGCCACAGAGAGATTGCTGGCGGCTTCGCATTCTTTCACTATTCACTTCCGCTTCTGTGGTATATAGTTTTGGAAGGATTTGGGAACGTCAAATGCAAGGAATCAACACTAATCAACGGATTTTTCTCGAATCTTTTCCGACTCGCCAATTCGGCCACGGATTTTTTCTCGCAGGAGGATTCCCAGAAAGACTGCAAGGCCAAGCTGGAGGCTTGCAAGCCGAGGGCTGGCGGTGGCCGAGGGGTGTGAATTTTCGTTCGCAACTTTTTCTCATTTGTGGTGTGGATTACCATATATTACCATGATTTTCCAATTTGTGGTGTGGATGTTTGTTTCTTTTTTTCCTGAACAATTTGAAAAGCAAAAAAAATGCATGTTCGGATTTCACCAAAAGCGCTGGTCAGTGGGAATGAAACATCCACTTTTGAACATGTTAAAATTGTAGCAGATTTTCAAAGCTCCAGGATCATATTCCACAGACCCCCAAACTTGATTTTTTTTTATTGTCCCAGCAAAATCTATTTGGAGGTGTCCTAAGTCCTGGGGATACCCTTTAAATCATCTACCCCTTAAATCATCCAATTCGTTAGATCATTTTAGTATTGACACCCATGGTTTTGGATGGTTTTGGGGCATCCTCCATTGCAATTTTCCCTCCATTTTGCTCATTTCAAGAATATCGGGTTCACCTCAGCTTGCTTGATGGGATCGTGGCGCAAAGCTGTAGTTTTGTGTATCTTGGAAACATGGGAAGCAAGCTGGGTCGAGTCTTTTTAGCACTTATAATTTCACGTATCTCTGAGGATCCAAAAAAACCTGACATGTTGAAAAACATGGAGTGTCTGAACATGGGGATACTTCAAAATGGCGGTTGTGTTTTTTTGTGAAAACAATGATTTTTTCAACCATGGGATTTTGATCAACCATGGGATTTTGGGTACTATTTTCAGACAAACCCATATCTCATCCCCGGACTTTCTGACCAAAGACTCCCCCTTTTTGGGCCCATGGTCAAGCCGAGTCGCTGCCAGGAGTATAGAAATACCACCAAGGAGTGCGACATGCGACAGGACGGTAGAATCTGCTCAGCACAACATCGAGATTGAAGCCCTGAAACCGGTGCGACCAACAATGCAGATGCAAAGAGTAGTTACCTTTCGAAACAGGACACGGACAGATGATAAATCTCCAGGTTATTATTGAATAAATGACTTCACTAAGGTTAATGAGCCCAGATAAAAATCCAAGTGGTTGATGTTGGTTACTGGTGTCATCGACGCCCAGTCTTTTGCAGTCCGCTTCAGGACAGCTTAGATGCCTTGTCGTGTCAGCAAGCCCTTGGGCGACATGAGAGGTGTGGGGACTACGACCAGCCCTGCCCGGCATGGTTGGACATCTCCACATTTTCCGGTGATTTGATGTTTTCGAATCATGTTAAGACCCTTACTAATATTACCAAGTCACTTCAACTTTTCGTCAACTTGGTGCTACCCGAGTTTGAAATGCCATGGCTGCCATGGCATCCTGCTCCACCGTGCCACAGCGTGCCTGCCATACTGTGCCAGTTGCTATGGAGAAGCAGAGTACGACTTGACCGCGGGTGGTTTGGGGGAAGCCTCAGTTTACCAGTTCAGATGAAAACACACGAATCAACGAGCTTCCCCCAAAACAACAGCATTGAGGACCTCAAGGCATCACTAGAAACTTCCGAACGGATCAGTTTTGAGCTCAAGAGTTGAACCTTTGACATTTCCATTTTTTCCATTTCCATTTTTTCTCGTTTTTCCCGACATGTTTTGTTTTCTGGGAGCCGCAAGTGAAAGCCCGCGAGGAAAGCCATGAAGATTTCCTTCTGTGGTCAACATGGCAAGGAGGGTGTAGGGCTCCACAGATTTTTGGATTTTTGGGCGTGCTGGTTGTCTCTACCGCTGTCACACAGCACTAAAGTCAAAGGCGGAAAAAAACACATTTTTATAGGATTTTCCATTATAACCTATCCAGCTATTGGGGTGCCCCCATGGAAAGCTTCACTGCCAAGGCCCTGGATGAGGAGTTGGAGCAAATCGAGCAGTCGGGGGGTCTCAGGGTCTGGAAGGTGGCCGTAGCTCTTGTCAATCCCAGGAAATTGGACTGGAAACACTAAAGACATGATGATCCCAATAATCCCTGACTTGTTTCATCTTGTTTCATCTTGTTTCTTAAGAATTCTTTTTTCCGAACTTATATTTTTGTTGCTTATATCAAGTTATCTCCACATTTTGGTTGCTTCGGTCCCAACATTTGCTGCTGAGTTTCCCGTACTTGTTGCTGAAATCCCCTTATGTAAATCCCATAAACACATTGCTTAAATCCCAACACATTGTTGCTTCCAAAGCTTTCATTGTTTGTTCGATCCAAAACATGTGACCAAATCATTCCAAGTCCCAAGTGCATCCAAGTTCCAATGTTTGTTGCCCAAATCCCCCTGTTCTCCCAACCAAATCCCAATTCTTTGTGCATTATAAATTATATCCATCCTCAATGATCTTGAACACCATCTCAGAAAATATCACCAAATATTTCACCACAAATATGTATATATAATTATATATGGATAGTACCACCCCAAAGACAAAAAAACAATTTATCTTCACTTGGGGCTTACTATATATTATAGAGACACACATATATATATATATACATACATATTATGTATATATATTATATATATATATATTATGTATATATTATGTTATATGTTTATATATATATATATGTAATACTATATCAACCTTCAAGGCCCAGCGACACTTCGCCAGGATCGGTTGCGTCATCACCGCGTTGACCTCCTCAGATCCCAATCGGAAGGCCGCACAGCTCGGAGACCCAGCGAGCGTTTTTTTGGGGTTAATGTCTAATTTACATTCAAAATCTATAGCAGAATGAGTCATATATTTTGGTATATATATTGGGTATTTGATATGATTTGATATGATTTGATATCATTTGATCATTTGATTTGATCGCTTTTGATGTTCAGACTCTAGTATTTATTACGATTCTTGTGGTAAATATCGAATTTTGTGGCGGTAGTTGGAACCCCCCGCAGGGGTCATGAGTCGGTCATGAGTGCGTGGGAGACCATGTTTGATCGGTCTACGAACTGTTGGACTTTTGATTTTCCAGCCGTGTTTGTGTCATAGCACACCCCAAAAGATAGAAACATCAGATCCTACTAAGACAGTGGTAGATCACATTTCCATTTTTTTGGGGGTAGATACAATAGAAGTTACCATCTGGTTATTCAACATAGCCATGGAACATCACCATTTTTAATAGATAAACCGGTAAACGATCTATAAATGGGCCATCTATACCGTGGCTATGTTAAATAACCAGAGGGTATCATTTGTAGAAGGATCAACCAGTTGTGCACAAACTAGTCCTCGGACCTGCAACGGCTGGATGTAATGAGGTGCTTGATGAATGCCACGAAGCGTCTTCTGGCTGCATTTCTGAAGTGTATTTGGTGAGCTGGGAAGACACACCTGTGAATAAATTTGGTGCATTTTGGTATAGTTTGGCAATAGTTTGGTATATGTTTGTTGCCCACCCCTGAAGTGCAAAATGAATCTAATATGAAGCCCATGAATTGGCCATATTCGATTTGAAGCAAGTTGTGTCGCGCCAACTTTCTATGTGAATATCATTGAATATCAGTTTTTTTGTTGGAAGATTTCTCTGTAGAAAACTGGACGCGGAGGAGATGGAACTTTTACCTTCGCAGAGTGTAAGAAGGCGCCCCACTGCGAATCGGTGTTTTACCGTCGCACTGAGCTGCGATATGCAGGGCCTGTGATGTACCATGGATGTAGATTGTGCATGAAAAACAGACCACGCAGGGCGACCAGTCTTGGGAACCCGGGCTCAACAGTTTTTGAGTGTGGTATGGCAGGACAAGCCGGAAAAGGATGAGACGCAAAACTGCGGAAATCATCTGAAACCCTTGGAAGACGCAGACATGGCGGGAACCGGCCCCTACGCACCTTGGATTGAGCCTAGTGGATGAGGTCATGCGACACATCTGAACAAATCAGATTGGCGAACATAGCAATGAGAAATGCCTCCAAGCTGTGTAACATCTCACATGGTATACCCAATAATAATCCGTACCCTGGATACAGCACCAAATTTGACAATTTTGGGAGGTATTGAAAACCACAACCAAAGAATGCCAAAGAACAGGGTTCATGATTAGGCTTGCCATACGATGGTTGAAATGACCTTGGCGATAATGTTTTGTCAGTCAGAATCCATCATCATGCCGTTTGGTGAAACCTTTTTTTTGGTTGGTCAAATCCATCATTGCATCATCACCATCGTGGTCTTCATCATCATCACCATAGTCGTCATAGTCGTCATCATCATCATCATCATCACCATAGTCGTCATCGTCATCGTCATCATCGTCATCATCATCATCATCATCGTCGTCATCATCATCATCATCATCACCATAGTCGTCATCGTCATCATCGTCATCGTCATCGTCATCATCATCATCATCATCATCATCACCACCACCACCGTCCAACTTCGCTTCTTCTGATCAATTGAGCTAAATTCAAGTTCTTGTGTTGGTCATCCCCAACTTCGGTGAAAATCCCAGCCTTTCTTTCAACCCCAAGGAGGAGAAGTACTACAAGGGCTATCCCATGGGCAACGCCACGAATCCGGACCACCTTCCTGCGGTGAATGTCAAGGCCCAAAGCTGGGGAAAAACTGACGGTTTTGGAGGTAACCTCTGTTCAGACTCCAATTTTTTCAGGTCGTTTCGGTTTCGTGAATGATTCTTGGTGATTTATACCCCGGTGATGGGGATCTCCGATTTTTTCCGATCTTCGGATTTTGATGGGGTAAGTTTTTGTCAAGAAGGCCGTGCTTGTCAATTCCAGCTGCTTCAAGAAGATGGTATTAATATCCAATTGTTGTTGGTGTATCGTAGTGTTTTTCATTACTCCTTTTTCTTGGTCCAGTCCCCAAAGTTTGTGGGGTTTGTATGCATTACATTTTGTAGAGCAAAACAGCACAGCTTGTTGCTTTTATTCCCAGTTTGGTCTGTGGAACCCATTGGCTGATCATAACTCGATGGTTTAGTATGGGATTTAAAATGGTTTACACTTATTTGGAGCCATTTATTACGGGGGCTTTAATTTTAGGGGAATGGCATTTTTCATTCTAATCCCAGTAAATAACCATTAGATCACCTTCCCCGCATGGCTCAACTAAATCCCATCCCATCCGATTCTATCCCCAATCCTATTCCGAATATGACATCCTGGATCTCCTGTTCTGAAAATCGCAGGGATATCCCATGATATCAGCCACTTAGGGCAATGGATTCTTGTGGTAAACCTGTCATAAACCAGCCCCAAGTCATCATTATTCCAACCATCCCCAGCGGAGGTTTATGGCAGGGTTTACCACCCACATTGATACTGTGGATGGTTAAGAAATCCTGCACCACCTTGGATCCTTGGTTGAAACCCTGCATATAACCATATGGAGGTTTCCTAAAATGGAGGTACCCCCAAATCATCCATCTTAATAGGACTTTTCCATTATAAACCATCCATTCTGGGGTACCTCCACATAGGAAACCTCCATATAAACCACCTATCAACTGCTGCAGGCTTGCGTGGCTCCCTGCTGCATCAAAGCCGCCGCCGCGGGCGAAGGCAAGCAGCGCGTGGCGCGACGCAACGCGGCCGGGGAGCCGAGCAGTGGAGCCCGGGAAAAAGGGGCGAACAATGGGGCACTTTCCATCGGGAAAGGTCGGGAAAAAGTGGGAAAAGTTGGAAAAACATGGAGGATTTCAGCGCAAAATTCGGAGAACATCAATGTTTAAAAGGAATTTCTGAGGATGTTATCACCACAACCAATTGGATTTGACCGATAAAATTAAAATCGAATATTTTTGATAACTTACAAACGATTGAATTGCTGTGGATTGTTGGGGACATTTCCATCTCAGACAGCCAAGTGCATTGATAAAACCTTCATCTAGGCTGCGAAGAAGGCTGAAGTTATGGGAAAGGGACCTTTGGGCATCAGGCAAACCTTACCGACATCCACAACTTGAAGGTGAGCCTGTCAGGGGGTGGGCTTGGAGATGGCAAGTCTGAGCATGTCATCATGGTGCAAATCCAAGATTCCTCCGTCAGATGGCAGTGTGTCAAAACCTTGTACCCCTGGTGAACATCAAAATAGCTGGTAAATGGATGTCCATCCCATTAAAAATGGTATCTATAGGTATTGACCCATACCCAGATCCTTTGGAAAAGGAGGATCTTGATATTAGAATGGAGCTCTCCTGAGCTCGTGCAGTATCTTTTGAGACGCGTCTACTTGGTGCCACTTGGTGATCGCTGCAGGAGAAATGCATCACACCCAACAGGACGGATGATGGCTACATCGTGTAACTTGGCATAGTTGCGCCACAGCGTGGTCGTGAGTGGGTTCTACTGGTTCTATTGTGGCTGTTTCACAGAGATCCAACCCACCCCCATCACCGCCGATCCAGTCACCTCGTAGGTATGAAGGCTCCCTCTTCATCAAGCACTTCCACGTGCAAGCGCAATGTGCTGAAGGTCAACTTGGCTGCACCCAACGCCTACGTTTCGATGGGGATCATGAACTCCTCCAAGACTGAGAAGCTGTGCTTTTAACACAACCCAGTAAAGGCATCTTACCAGGTAGGTTTGGGGTGACATTGGTTCAGCCAAGCAGTAGGTCTCAGAAGATTTTAAGGAAATCACACATTATATATAACTATCCCAGAAAGTCCCAATCACTCATTTTGTCCCTGGCTTAATGGTGGATTATCATAGTCATAATCCAATGGTTAGTAAAACTGGTTACGTATATCAACCATTGTTAACATTAGAATATGCATATATACATATATAATATAGTTATATGCATATTATAAACACACTAGTGTACTACATATACAACTATTATGATCATCCTGAAGTATATAGATAGAATATGGACTTTTAAAACACACTTCCCATTTCAGC